ATTTAAGTTAGCCTTAACTTAGCTTTAACTTTATCGATAGCTCGACTACATTAACTCTACTAATCTTTTAAAAAATTGCCGAGCGTTACGTACGGCCGCTTTTAGCTATATATATAAGTAATTTAGACACGCGTCTATAYATACTATCGACTATTATAAGCCTCTAAATCGAACCTCTAATAAGCACGAATATTACGAATATTACGAATAATTCGAATAATTCGAYAGGTCGATATATTACTACTACGCGCTCTACCGTCCTTACCGCTAATTACTAYATCCTTACCGTTCCCTATACTACTAACCTATACGGAACTCGAGGTTATCTTTAGAGACAAGCAGCTTATAGYAATTTAAGAGACTTTAGARAGGGYAATTARGGCTATATTATCGATATTAATGCGAATAGATAGACTTAAAGAGAGGATTRCTATACTTAAGGATTTAGAGCTTCCTACGYATATATAATGCGACTAGCTAACGGTAATAGTAATAGATGTAGATTTAGAGAYAAYATCTAATATAGAGCTATAGATAATATCTACTCTTCTTAAAGTRTCGTAATRCGGTGTCCTTTAGAACCTCTATAACCGCTCGAACTAYATTAACTAAGAAGCTCTTAAAGTCGTTAACTAGAAGCTCGTTACGGTAACGCTTAATCTACTTCTTTAATACGTAGAAGCTCTATTCGATAGGGTTRTAGTCCGGTAAGTACGGTAGAAGYAGYTTAAGGAAGYAGTAAGCGTCTACTATAGCCTAAATAATATCGTTACTAYRGTAGATTAATRTATTATCTATTATAAGGATRGAGCCGGTTAGTAGTTAAGGYAAAACCGTCTAAACTAGCTAATTTAGAAGATGTTCGGTTATAATCGAACCTTATAGTACTAGCGGCTTATCTAACTATCTATTAATTATTATYRTARGTACGAGAGACTATCGTTCTAACCGTTTAGCTAGTAATRTAGTRTCCGAGGGCTRTCTAATTAGACTCTAAGAATAACGCCTATCGAGTAGTAAGTAAGGGTAACTATATAGAAAAAACACTAACCTACCGCTAGCTATTTCGTTCGTTATACGCGCTCTCGTCGATAAAYACTAACTAGTTAYRATACTAACCTATTACCTTCGCGCGCTAGTAAGCCCTTAGCTCTATATTACGCTTACTAGCTATCCTCCGCGCTACCTTCTTAGACTACCGGTACCTCGATAATATCCTAAATACGCTAGAGTCGTAGAAAACGTAACCGGTRTTATCGAAYAGCTACTAGGCTATCTTATTAAGATACGCGTCCGGCTAAGAGCTTACGAACGCTATAAAATCCTCCTTATCTTACTATATTAATCGCGCCGGCCTATACCTACGGACGGTTAGAGGGGGGTACGGTTCGCTAAAGAGCTCGAAACTAAGGCGGATACGACTAATAGTAGTATRCGACACCTTATACGTCCTCGTAATAGCGCGATTGCTAAATATAGTCGTTTCGAAAGCAGTTCGGAGCTAGTTATAGAGCGGTAGCGGTAGGCGGTTACTAGCGCGCCGTTTTACGCGTTCGAAGGGCTCCTACGCCTTTAAGTTAGTTAAAAACAACACCTTTTACACGGACTACTTACCGACATAATTTAAGACGATATAGGCTAATTTTAGATGCAGGTAGGTAGTGTAGAGGGCGCTATAGGCCAATTTACTACTAGAGGGCTCTCTAGCTTCCCCGCGGAGGAGGGCCCGAGAGGTGGTACACGTGTTAATCAAAGAATTATAAGCGAAGAATACGCTTACAATGGACATGTGGCTATGACCATCAAAACAAGTGGTGTTAAGGAGAGCAAACAAATTGTCGAAAAATGTCCCCTGTTGTCCTCGTAGAAGAGTACCTAACTTACGTAATAAGGTAGGCGCCTTCCAATTAATTGCAGCAGCTGGGGCGGCAACCTTCAATTCCACAGGCCCTTGGGAGAGAGGGAGCGTTGCAGTAGATAGAGTTCGGCGCTAGATGCTCTGTGGTTGTGGTTGTGGTTGTTGTCATGTGGACGTGTCTCGAGTCGCGTCGCTGCTCAAATCCTCGACTTCACTTCGACATCGACATTGACATCGAAGGAAGAATTGGCGATGCAATCGCTCGACATCTTCTCAATCTCACAAGCGTGTCACCAGCGCTTCGAATTGTCTCGCAACGAGGCATACACAAGACTAAGTATTGTTTGATTTCTCCTTGCCGCAAAACGATTTCCCGACGATGGCAGACATGCATCCACATCGCCGCGCCCAACTTGAGCTCGAAGCAGCTCAGCAAGCGGCAAATCCTCGCCCCATGCAGAAATCTGCGGCTGAGTTGGCCGCAGCGATATTCTCAGTGAGTGGTGCTGCGACGGGTGCGAACTCGGAGCCTGCGGGAGCTATGCAGCGTCAAGCATTAGGCGTGCGCGAGAAGACGTCGTCAATGCAGTCTGCTCCCCGAGAGCCTCGCGCAATGAGAGCGCACAAAATCACGAAGCCGACAATGTCAAAACGAGCAACACATCGTAAGAAGGAGGAACTTCGCGTTCAGATCAAAGAAGCCGACCGAGCCGGCAACTATGACTTTGCGGAGGATTGCTTCGATGAGCTCGAGGCTATCAAAGAAGCACACAGAGCTAAGAGGGCCGAAAAAAATAGTGACCCCAAGCGTCTTGCCCGGCGGGCGAAGAGTAAAGCTGCCAGAGCCGAGCGGGTAGGCATAACGATTGCCAATGGTACCTACTTGACCCCAGAAGAGAGGCGCGCGAAGCGAAAGGCAGCACTCGAAGCTAGGCTAAAGGCCGATCCGGTATTTGCCGCTCAAGAGGCGGAGAAGATGAAGGTCAGGAAAGCCAAGGAAGAGCAAACCCGGGAGAACATTGCAGCAGTCGCCCGTTATACGGTATTTCGGAAGCAGTCACCTCGCCAACGCACCCTCGAGCAGAAATCACAGCTTAGCCAGGGACAGTGGCACGCGCAGTATGGCGACGATCAGGAACAGCAGGCCCTTTGGAACATGGCCGGCAATGGGGAACAGGCTTCCGCGTACCCTTCCTACCATTCACATGAATATCACCTTTCTCAAAACGAACATCGTCAGTCAGTGCCTCGCTACTTCCACAATCAAGAGCAGCAAGATGCTCTTTGTGAGGATTACCAACAAGATTTGAGGGCGCGCTACGAAGATCCGCAGACCACGCTTAGTCGTAGAATGGATCGCATCAATATCGATGATCGATTTTCTGACAGCGTCTCGACCGATGAAGATGGAGATACGGATGTGGATGTTGAAATGGAAGACATTGCTTCGCCGCTCTCGGTGATCGGTCATGAGAGGAATCATTCAGAGCTCCTCTGCCCCTCGCCGATACCCTGGTCTGCACAGTTGCAGGTGGGCGGAGGGGGCCTTCGCAACGAACCTATTCAAGGACTCGAAGCTCACAGACCCACCCTTCTGAGATTCCCCATGCTAGCGGAAGACGCGGTCGGGGGGATCGACCCTGCTACTCGACCTGGCTCGAAACATGGCGATGGCTCGAAACAATTCCTGGACCCCGACAGCACAGCATACAAGATGATGGCTCGGATGGGCTGGGCGCATGGGAAGGGTCTAGGTAAAGACGGGGCTGGTGTATCAGATACCATCAAAGTGACCCTGAAACGAGRCCGAAAGGGTTTGCAGTACGGTCGAGCGAACTCCTCTCCGGTAAGGGAAGTTCAGCAGCCTGCACCCAATTCCATCGCCGCCGCTGGAGGTATCACGAAGCTGCTCCCTAAGAGCACCTCTGCTCAAATGGTCGGTAACCATCCGATCAACAACAGGCATACGGTCATCGACCTCACCCAGGATGAGCCCGTAGACCCTGTTGTGAGCGACGGTCCCAGCTTCATCGATCTCACCCAAGACATATTCGTGGACCTCACTGGAGAAGATGACACGGGAAACCCTCACAGTGATGGCAAGCGCTCAACGGCCACAGATCTCTCATCTCCATCTAGCGATGCTCGAGGATGGCGCGCCGCGGCTGACGTTCATCACGGCTTGGGCTCMCGCCTGTCACCTACCGTGTYGAACAGCGCCGCGTATGCTGCCCTTAAGGTGTCTGCTGTTGGCGGTGAGCAGATGGGCGATGCTCAGGACGTTGCAGACAGATGATGGGAGCCTTGCTTGTGAGATTGAGTTTTCGGGAACGGTCACCAACGAGTTTCAAATGACTGTTCTGTTGTATCCCTGTATCTTCACGTTGCGGACCTTCCTTAATCGGATATGTGAACGCGCAAGAGGTGTAGACGGCTTGTGCTACAGGCGATGGGTTTAACAATCAGTTGAAGATGTAGCCCTCTGGAGTTCTGATGCCTGGAAGTTATGAGGCAGCAATAGCTAGCTAGTCCGAACAGAAGAACAGCGTTGCATGTCGTATATCCCATCTCATACTGCGCGAACCAAAATTATGTTCAGCACTGTCCATATTTCCACCATTTCTTCGTGCCTAGCTCGAGGTGCCATGATCTATCGCACTCAGCAGCAGTTCAAAGAAGAGTCACCGAGAACAGGTCGGCCTCGGCTGTCATGGAAGTTGTCTGCCAGACCCAAGCATGCCATCGTAGGGTTTTGTTGTTGACCCGCGAATGCTAGCGTAGTGCTCAAGTACTCATAACTCTGGCACTGCCCAATGATATGGCGCTTGCTGGTATAAAGTAGATGGCGCTGYCAAATTGACCATCCCCGATGGCAGCGACGATCAGGGCTACTCGCATGCTCGGATAAGAGCTGGAGCATGATTCGTACATTATGCCGAGTCTTGCTGATGCAGTTGAGCAAGCATCAATGTCCTAGAAACACCTGGCGAAAGTTTTCGTACCAACCCAGATCGTAAATATTGTCGACATCCCTCGTGTCCCAGACCCGAGTCCACAGAGCATCTTGTCTACGTGGCGGCTTCCCATCGTTAGTCCGTACGAGTACTTGATCGCTGCTAATTGGCCATACAACATTCTCCTGGGCCTCGAGGCCGTGAAGAGCAGGGTTCTGCTGTCTGTTGCCATCCCCGTCGCGGACGTTTCGCTGTTCATTGTGAGCTCGCAAGTCGTTCACGTTGGCGCGAAAAACATAGCCGTCATGCATATCTTCTTTCCATTCGGACCACTTTTGAGATTCGTTCGTAGTCATGCCGGCCCAGATCAGATACAAGTGATACGCCAAGAGTCCGAGAGGAAGTGACGCGGTGGAAGCCGCCAGCAGGCCAACCCCAGCAATGGATATGCCCCCTTTGTCAACAGCGAGAACGAATACGTGGGCCAGATCGTCGAGACGGGCGCGCGAGAAGAAACTATGTGCAGGGTTGACCTTCAGATGTGGGCGAAGCAGCCACCAACTCAAATAGGCGCCGTATATCTCCAGAACCCCAATGCTCAGGAGGAGAGCCAGAAAGTGGCGGTAATTGCCTCTCCCCAAGCAGTTGTTGACCCACGGGCAGTGATGATCACACTTGGCGACGCAGACGCCACAGAAACCACAGTGCTTTGATCGAGCTGGCTTGACAAGATTGCACGTCCTGCACACGGTCTGCGGTCTAAACAGAACATGGTCGAAAGGGTAGTCAAGCATTCGTGCGCTGTGATTCTGCCGTGAAATGTGATGGGCCGTGCCGGTGACAGACAAGTACGTGAAGACATAGGGGAGCGAGACAAGCAGTGGCAGTGGTACCAGGAGATTCTTTGGTAAGCGGAGCACTGAACTCCACAAGAACATCGAAGCGCTTGCCGTCAATAGAAAAAGGAAAAGTATCTAACACTGACTTAGCTGGTGCATTGTCAACCTCACAATTCTCGTCCGCATACCAGCACGACCGGATTCTTCTCGTAGAATAGGTAGTTGCCCAATCGCTGGCTTTTTCGGCCGATCCTCCCACCTGTGAGAGAAGCATCAACAGCACCAAGTCCGCGTGGAATTTGCAAGCAGAGCAGGCGATACAGCCAGCCGATGGGAGTTTTTCTCAAAGCTGGCAGTCGGCCGAAAAAAGCCACGAAGGTGAAAAATGAGATGGTAAGCACAGCGAGCGCAATGTTCCGCAGAGCACCCATCGTGCGTTTGAGATGAGATGTCGAGAGAGCGTCGCAATAATACTTTAATGTAGTGAAGATGTGAGGTCTCTTTGACGCGTGTCAATGCGCGTCAAGCTTTCGAGTCCGGCCCCGCTTCACTTCGTCTCATCACCATCAACCTGTGCCGGACATCCATCGACGATGCGACAATTCTCCGGCTGATCCAAGATCGCAATATCTAGATCCGCCGTCGCATTGGCGAAATCGGGCCATGGCGAATGCGCCAGTCGTCGTGACTGACGCCGGCGACGAAACGCCTGCAGTTGGAGAGCTCTTCAAAGACGTCAGCTTCTTCCTGACCGCTCGAGTTCCCACCCGCAGCAAGTTTGTGGCCGACATCGAAGCCAATGGCGGTCGCGTCGTCAAGCYCGAGAAATATGCGGATTTTGTGATTGCCGATCACATGCGAAAACCATTACCGGCCGACGGCTTCTCATACACACTCATCGAACAAGCAATCCGCGATGGCAGTCTCCCAGATCCAGCGGATCACGCTCTAAGATCGGCGACGGACAGCCCACGTGCGGCAGGATCAAGAGTACCCGGAAAGCGGACCCGTACCGCTTTTACTGCAGAGGACGATAGAGTGTTGTGGCAATGGGTTGAGCGGGAGAGGGCGCAAGGGGAGTCGGTAAAAGGCAATGATATCTACAAGCGACTGGAGCTTGTGAACACTCGGCATACCTGGCAGGCATGGCGCGATCACTACGTGAAGAAGCTGATCGATCATCCGCCAGCAGTGGAGATTGATCATGTCGACTTTGACCTGCTATGGGAGCAAGCGCGAGATATCGAGAACATGGACGAAGCCATGTACGAAGAGGCGTGGGATTTGTGGGCAGGAGTGAATGAGAGACATACAGCGGATGAGTGGAGACATATTTGGGAGTCTCATGTACGACCTGCTTACCGCAAGCGGCATGCGAAGACCAAGACGAAGCGGAGACGCGCTTCAATGTCGGGCGATGATGGAGGCGGTTCGACGAGCATAACACCACGAAAAAGGGGCAAAACTCGTGCCTCAGCGGCTAAAGTTGATGACGTGAGGGATCATGGAACTGACCAGCAACCCAACGGACAGGATTATCCTGCGGCCGAAGCCATGACCAGCGAGACAAATCGCGGACGAAGCGGATTCGATGGTGCTCTGGGAGAGCCCGATGACGACCTGGCCGCACTGGAAACCTGGCAAGACTCAAGCAAACGAAGCTCGGGTCGAAACTATCGCTTAGCGGGACCTGATGCTCCAACTACAGAAGTCGACCGAGCAGTGGGCGAGCAGATACAGGCGGAAATCAATCTTACGACAAACACCGAGCCTTTGCACTTGAGCGAACAGATCATCACATCAGATGCGAATCATGCTGCAGACCTACAGATACGTAATGAGGCGGATGTGGCTCAGCCGGAGCAGCATGCGTCCATTGAGACAGAATTACGTTTGCAGTCTACGAACGAGATGTCTGGCAATACTTTTAAGAAGAGCCATGACGGCAATGATGGACATGAAGCGACGCGACAAAACGACCTCCATACATGGTATGCGGAAAGGTTAGAAGAATTGAAAGACCTTCCAAAAACTAATGGACACGCTCTCACGGAAGCAAATCTTATCAGCCAGCAAGCCGAGCATGCAGAGCCACTGACACGCGGTGTGGATCTTCCAAAAGACGATCACAATAAGGACCAGAGTGAGTATGTCAAGTTTTTGCAAAATATCACCGGTCATGCTCATGCACGAGAAGCCCACGTCGAGGGCGACTCAGCTCATCCAGTAGCACAAGATGCACAAGCGGCCCCAATCATTCCCATGTCATCCCAACAGGAGGTTGGGAATATCATGGAAGATGCATTGGACTGGCCATCACCTTCCCAGCGAAATGCGAGTCAATCGCAAGGCCAGGAAGAGCAGTTCGAGACGCAAAATCTCCGCACAAACCTGCCCCTCTCAAAGCAGCATGTCCGCGGAATCATGCCAGACTTTGAGATTTCCAGTCAGTCTATGATGTCACAAGACAACGACGAAAATCTTCCGGGCCAAGGTGAGCATGGAGCTACCAACCCGTCATTTCCAGTCGCCCGTCAGCATTCGACTGGCGTGAAAGGAAACCTCGAAGACGAGAGCTATCGCAAAGCTCAGCCTGATACCTTTGAAGGTTTCGAAGACATGGCCGATGACCACATTGATCTCAGCATACCAGAACCTGAAGGTGACTTTACTTTTACTCCTTCACCCGATCGGAATCGAAGTATTGCGAATGAAGTAGTCAATGTCGGTAAAGAATCTGCTGAGCTCAGGGGTTCCACTATCCATGATCTTCCGGGCAGCTCGAGGTTCGATCAGAAACCAGGCCCGCTACGCAATGAGGTAGTATATCTATCATCAGATGCTTCCAGTTCATCTCTACCCAGCTCACATGCGGAGGTGACGGTCATCCGGCGAGAAACGGGAAAAAACGCGGTCGAGACACAAGACATTCTCAATGCGGAAACGCAGCTGCCCGACTTCTTCATGCCTTTGCCAGACGATGCTCAGGATCAAGACGAGGAAGTCGACCTCGCACAACAAGCTTCTCCACGCAATCTGAGTCATACTCGGGGTGCTGAAGCTGTAGTGATGCAAGCCCCAGGCCTATCCATAGCCACGCCTCCTGATTGGGAAAAGGAGAATGGAGTGGGCTACCACACCAACAGCAAAGAACCCGAGAGGCGGCCAAAACAGAAGCAGAAGGCGGTCGAATCTCAAACCATGGATGTTGAAAGAGAACTCGAGTCATGGCTGGCCATACAGCATGTTCGTGGCTTCAGCGAGGTCTCAGCCATTGCTGCCATGCAGCGTTCCTCCATGCGACCAGATCTTGCCGAGCTAATTCTGTTGGCCGAGAAAGGTGGCCTTGGCTTGCCCAATGACATTCCTGGAATATGGAGCGAGATGGAGGACGATGTCTTGGAGAGTGGTGATAGCGGTGCGTTACGTCGACTTGAGGCGAAGCACGGATGGGACGAATGCGACGCCAGGATGCGGTTCCTCGCTGAGTGGCGGGAGGCTTGACGAACCAAGCAATGATGATGAGGCTACGTAATATACCCATGTCGTTATGCTCATATGATTCAAATGGTACGTTTGCTCGGTTCGCTTCAGGCTTCAGGCATCATCGCAGCAAGCATGGAAACGCACGCAACGTGCTGCGCCATGGCCGGGCCGAGCGCTCTGTCCGCCCGACTTCCGACTTTACGCTTGATGATCGTCAGAGCAGAATGGATGAAGGAGAGGCTCTAATTAAGCTACAAAGATAGGATGGATTAAACAGATGAACACAAACACATTCTCACAGATAGGAACAAAGTCGAGATTCTTCGTGAAGTGAAGTGAAGTGCTTCGTAACAAGGTTTGACTAGGCCGGCGCATCACATGAATGGTCATCATCGCAGGGATCTGCTGATACCTTATTCAACCTCAAGTGTCCACATCTCGTGCCCTTGACACGGCCAGCTCATTCGCACAATTCTTGCATGAACCACTGCAGGTTACATACATCAGGATGTTTCGCGCAGTACAGTCACCACTCGACGATGCAGGCATGTTTATCTCCTAGTTGTCCAACTCTAGGCAGTGATATGAGCTTTGACGTGGCTAACAAACCTCACAGTTGTCAAGGCCACCGACGAGAACCTCACCAGCGAGAACTGGGAATTCATTCTCGATGTGTGCGACCGCGTATCCGCCGACAATGCGGGCCCCGCGCAGGCTGTATCGTCTATCATCAAGCGGCTCGCCCATCGCAACGCCAACGTGCAGCTATATACTCTCGAACTTGCCAACGCATTATCGCAAAACTGCGGCATCGTACTCCACCGCGAGCTCGCTTCAAAGGCATTCACCGATGCTCTACTGCGTCTAGCAGCAGACCGCAACACGCATGCGCAGGTGAAACAGAAAGTGCTCGAGCGCATGAGCACTTGGGCCGATGAGTTCCGCAACTCACCCGAGCTGGGCATCATGGAGACGGCCTACCAAAAGCTAAGGATGCAGCAGCCCGGACTCGTCGCGCCGAGCAAGCCGGTCAAGCGTGAGATTAGCAGTGATGATCGGCGGAAGGAGGACGAGGAGTTGCAGTTGGCGTTGGCGTTGAGCATCAAAGACAAGGGCGTGGCATCGCCTTCTGCAAATGGAACAGCAACTAGTACGAAGGAGCAGCAGGAGCAACAAACCACACAGGTTCAGCCGCCAGCACCGCAAGGCACGACTGCTGCAACTGTGAGCCGGGTGCGAGCACTTTACGACTTTACCCCGTCCGAGCCAGGCGAGCTCGCTTTCAGGAAAAACGACATTATTGCGGTGCTGGAATCCGTTTTCAAGGACTGGTGGAAGGGGAGCTTGAGAGGACAAACAGGCATTTTCCCACTAAACTACGTGGAGAAGTTGCAAGACCCCACAAAGGACGAGTTGGAGCGTGATGCTCAGATGGAGTCCGAARTATTTGGTGAAATCAAGAACGTTGAAAAGTTGCTCGCCCTGCTCAGCGTAGGTGGAGAGGCTGGTGGCCGACGAGGCGAGCGTGAGGAGGAGGAGATCAGCGAGCTGTATCAGCGCACGTTGAGTATAAGGCCAAAGCTAATTGAGTTGATTGCGAGGTATTCGCAGAAGAAAGGTGAGATGAAGTTGGAAAATGATATTCTTCTTATCGCTGACAAGTGCTCCAGATGACTTTACCCAGTTGAACGAGAAGTTCATCAAGGCACGTCGGGACTATGAAGCTCTGCTTGAATCCTCAATGTCGCAGCCGCAGYATCAGCAGCACCAGTATCCTGTTCGAGCGAGACCGCAGCCACCATATCAACACCAACAACCTCCATACGGTGGTCCACAGCAGCAGCCGGTGCCGCCACAAGGCTATCCTCCTCAAGGTCCTCCCACTCAATCCTATCAGCAGCCGCAATCTTTCTCACAGCAAGGGCATCAACACCATCCGCCTCAGCAAGATCCGCAAAGGTTCTTTTCGCCGGTGCCTACGGACGTCAGCCAATATCCACAGCACAATGCTCCGCATCCTCCGCAAGGGAATGGTGCGGCACCGTTCCACTTTATCCCCGGTGGTATGGGTCCTCCACCCGCCACCGACGTGCGAAGAAAGCCCAGTCCTAATGGTCCGCCTGGCCCTCAAGACTCCTTCAATTCTGCACAGGCCTTCCAAGGCCAGATCAGACCCAACAGTATTCACACACTTAACAGCGGTAACCCTCAGGAGCTCGCGACAAGTGGTTACGAATCACCCATCGACAACAGACAGTCATATCCTCCGGCGCAAGCGCAACAGCTCGTCCAGGACCAAGTGTACAACGCATATCTACCACAGCAACCACAACAAACCTCCYCCTCACAAGTCCAACAAACGCCAACGCAAACAAGGAACGATCGAGACGGGCTTCCCAGCAGACAAAGAACAGAAAACAGCATTGAATCGCCTTCAGGTCAAGTACATCCCCCGGCACAGAYTCCGCAGCAGCCAAGTGCGCCTCCGCCAGGTGTCCCCGCTGACCCCGGCCTACCTCTACCTGTTGGAGGCCAAGCACCGTACCAGGCCTATCAAGCCTACCAGCAGCCACAACCTCCACAATCACAACCTCCACAACAACGAACCCCACAACAACTTACACAGCAGACGGCTGTTACTGGAGATACCGGGGAAGATCCGGGCGCCTTTTATCGGTGAGAATAGCTGTTGTCCGAAGGACTTTAGTGTAGCTTATAATGAGCCAACCTGTGAAAAACATGAATGAATTGACCAGCATCCATCCATCCATCCATCCACTGCACAGCTTCCGTTGCTTGACAGACTCGACGCAACATCCCAAGTATGAACTTGCAACATGGTCACTAGCACTACTGAGAACTGCAAAATCTGCAGACGTCTCCAAATGCAGCCGGAGGGGGCGCCGATGTAACGAGCGTCGGATCATGTTTTGGAACGTGTCAAATTCGTACGGACGTTCATTGCATGAAACCTGTCACGCGCTGTCTTCTTCTCTGGCACAAAGACGTTGGGACTAGTTCTAGATGCAATTGAGAAAGGTGCTTATCGTGGTATGTTGTGTTCGATCGAACAGGACCACTCCGGTACCGAGCTCGGACTCTTTGCTGTCGGTAWGTCAATCCTCGCCGGCATTGCAAGTCTCGGTGGTGAAATGCGTGACCGGCGAACACCAGATCAGCGCTATGCGGAGTTGTGTCGTGGTAGAGGACCACCGCGTGACTTTTTGAGGAAGAAGTGTCACGCCTCGATTAGGGCATGAATGAATCGCTGGAATAAATGACAAAACTGTAGCCTATACTTCCCCAGATATTGAGGCCTGGTTGGTGACCGCAACCCGTCAACGCATGCAAGCACACCATTTCCATGGAAGTCAGTCGTAGTGCCGCAGGTTCGTTTAGGAAGCCCAGCCGAAAGCAGCCTGTTATCTGTCAGCGCTGGGCGTGTCTGCAGACAGCGCAGGGTATGTATCACGGGCGGCTGCAACGTGATTTAAGACGTGTGCGAGTGTGGGGACAGCCAAGCAAGGTGCGCGGGAACAGAGGGAGAGACGGGCGGCGGTCAATGGACATTGGACCTGCATGTGTTCAGCCAAACAGGCGCCGCCGACAGGCAGGGAGGGAGGGGTGCAGCAGAGCAGCAATGCAGCAGTGCAGCACGTTTGCGTGCGGCGCCAACGTTTGGGGGCGAAGTCCGCGCGCAATGGGGAGGGCGGCGGTGTGGGCACGGCGCCTGCGTACCCTGGTCAAGCTCCCTTTTGGCTGTGTTCGGCACCAAAGGAAGAGAGCAGCCAGGGAGTTCGATGCTTTGGTGCCCAGCACCTGCGCCTGACCACGGCGAGGCAAAGGTGACGGAGCGCATGGCTTCGAATGATGCTGCCCACGGCGAGCTGCAGCTGGTCGGCGTCGTAAATGCCGCCCGATGGTTGTTGATTGAGCGCGAGGCGAGGCGCAGGATCCCGCTGCGATGGTTGTGATCCCAAGAGCCTACCAGGATGCTTGCAAGCTGAAACAATCCTGTTTTCCCTGACTCCAGGCGAGCAAGACTGCTCGTCTGGGCCTCTGCCGCTGGCTCCTAGTCCTGCACGCATCCTTTGCACGACGAATTGACTGGCTGCTGTATTCGGCGCGCGGCGTGAGCAAAGCAGCGCATCGCATCGCATCGCAAAGCAAGAGGGAACGCGGGCAACAATCAGAACTCTCGGGAGTTGCCGCTTTCGTTCTAAGCCTGGCGGCACAATGGAGAGACATGGCCATGCTTCTTCTTCAACTCGCCGCGTTCTTGTGAAGAAACGAGCTTCCCAACACTCCCAAGCGCCCCACAAGGCTCGCGGTCACGTCGACCCCGTTACCGTCGAGTCGCCGCGCACCTCACTGTCGACATCTCGTCCGCACCCGTCTTCCACCCCCACCTCCACCTCCATCAACAGCAGTCCTCCGTCAGGTACCAACTACGGCTACGGCTACAGCACCGCCGATAGTAGCGCCAGCTCTAGTCTTGTCACTGCGCATGCTGCTCCGCCGCAGCCTGGACGATCTGCACCTGTGCTCGCACCTGTCGCTGCTGCGAAGGCGTTGGCACCTGAGCTTGACGTTGTGCACCGGGCCCAGGGCTCGCCCGCCGATTTCTCCGACCTGCTCAGCGATCTCAACGCCGTTTCGTATTTCCAAACCGACTTCACACATCTCCCGCCACCTACAGCTCCACCATTACGGCTAGCCACCGAGCAAAACAGTACAGAATCTCTCCAGGCCCGCACAGCCCACACGCTCCGTTCGCAGAGCTCGGGATTGAGTTCCGAACGAAGCACTGCAGTCGCAAACCCGGCAAAGCGACTGTCGCAGAGCTTGACGCCCTCCGGACGCCTGATGGAGGACACCACTACGCCGCGGGGTGAGCCCAGCGGGATGCGAAGCCCAAGGCAGAGGTACAGTGATGAAAGTCGAGAGGGCAAAGCTATGAAGAAGAAGAGCGGCTTCACCAATTTCGTGAACAATCTGGTGGGCACACAGCGCAAACCCACCATCTCAGCCCCAGAGAATCCAGTTCACGTAACTCATGTGGGATATGACCAGGAGACAGGAGAATTCACGGTAGGTATTGATGGTGTTGGACCTTTAACTTTCAGTGCTGATGGGCTCTAGGGCTTGCCCAAAGAATGGCAACGGACATTGCAGGCCAATGGCATCACGGAGCAGGAGCAGAAGAAGAATCCGCAGGCCATTATCGATGTAGTCACTTTTTTCAACGAAACCACCGCGGATACTGGTAGTGATGACTGGACGTATCACAAGTTCGATAACGCTAGACCCCAGGACAGTCCACTTTCGCTGGCACCGTCTACACACTCGCAACAAAGCGGTCTCAGTCCGGGAGGATATGTGATGAGTCCACCTGCGAGTCCACGGTTCCCCAGAAACGAGGGTGAGAGCTTCGAGAATCCCAGAGCTCCTCCACCAGTACCGAAAGGAATGAGTGGATTGGGCGTCAATACTCCACTGCCTGCGCAGTCCAATGGTAACACCTTGCTTCCATCGCGGCCAGCACCCAAACCCCCCGGGAGCCACTCAACCAACAATGTTGCGCAGAGAGCAGCTCCGAATCATCACAGCCCGCAATCGCAGCAGCTGAGGACCGAAGATGGCCTTCCCGCCGTCAGATATGCTCCTCCTACAATCATAGACATCTCCCAAAATCAAGGTCAGACTCGAAGTCGATCCAACACCGGGCCGACAAATCAGTACCAGGCCCATTCGCCTGTCTCATCACCCCAGCAATATCAGTTCCAGCAAGAACAGGCCATGAAAGCCGCCCAACAGCAGATGAAACAGACCAGCCTCGAACGCTCCCAATCTCAACGCCAGCCTAGTAGCGGCATTCCGCAGCCGCCGCAATCGCAACTTCCCCCTCCCTCAGAGTCGCGACAAGTGCCGCACCCTGCGGCTGTTGATCCACGACTGGGGCCAGCACCCAGGCCAAGACAGCGGCCACGCCAGTCAATTACCAACGCAGAGGTGATCACAAGACTACAAAATATTTGCAATCCAGCGGATCCTACCAAGAAGTACCGGAGTCTTATTAAGATCGGACAGGGAGCTTCAGGTGGTGTCTACACAGCGTTTGAAGTTGGCACCAACAAATGCGTTGCGATCAAACAGATGAACCTGGAGCAGCAGCCAAAGAAGGATCTCATCATCAATGAAATCTTAGTGATGAAGGACAGCAAGCACAAGAACGTGGTCAATTTCATGGACAGCTTTCTGGTCAAGGGTGACTTGTGGGTTGTCATGGAGTACATGGAGGGTGGAAGCCTGACGGATGTCGTGACCTTTAACATGATGTCCGAAGGGCAAATATCCGCCGTCTGCAGGGAGACACTTCATGGATTGCAATTCTTGCATTCCAAGGGTGTCATTCATCGTGATATCAAGTCTGACAACATACTCCTCTCGATGGAGGGCAACATTAAGCTGACTGACTTCGGTTTCTGCGCGCAAATCAATGAGTCGCACATGAAACGCACGACCATGGTTGGAACTCCGTACTGGATGGCACCGGAAGTGGTTACTCGGAAGGAATACGGGCGCAAGATTGATATCTGGTCGTTGGGCATCATGGCAATTGAGATGATCGAGGGCGAGCCGCCATATCTGACAGAGTCACCTTTGCGAGCTCTGTACCTGATTGCCACCAACGGAACACCAACAATCAAAGAGGAGCACAACCTGACGGCGATATTCAGGGATTTCTTGGCCTTTGCTTTGAAAGTCGACCCGGAGAAGAGGGCGTCTGCACATGATTTGTTAAAGGTCAGTGATGATGACACACATTTTGTGTACGCCCGAAATGCAGCTAACTTTTTTGACAGCACGCTTTCATTCAGACCGCAGAACCTCTTGCAACGTTGGCGCCACTCGTCAAGGCAGCCAGACTGGCCAGAGCCGAAGAGAAACGGAACAAGGGCAATTGAAATCAGCACTGTAAACTCCTCTCCTCAGCTCCGCGGACCTTTCGTGGTTGGCGTACGCTCCGTCTCTTGAACTCGTCTTGTTTCGTTTTGCATTGGATATGCATGCCATGTAATCTGCCGCCCGGACGAAGTAGCGACGAAGTAGCGATGGTATACTTGAAGCAGATCGGGCTGTCTCCACATAGCAAAAGGGATCACAAACGATGTGAGCTACCTACCTACCCCCTAGGTACACTCATTCGCTTTGTCAGCATGCGCGAGCAGCAACTGTGAGCGGGAGGAAGGATCAATAACGAATGAGGACCACGATGGAATGAAACAGTATCTGATGGAGGAAATAGAGCCGGGTCGTCTTGGATGGGATCATCTATCACTTCCTATAGCATAGCTCGCCTGTCAAAGGCTGAGCCATAGAAGGCAGCTTATGCAGTTGTCGTATAGCTAGCTTATACGAGGACCGCACGTGACAATTCATGGAGCGCAAAATCAATCGATCCGAGAAGGGCAACATGATCCCAGCTGTCCTACTAGGGTATGGAGTGTATTATTTGTGAACCGGACTCGGATGATCTAGCTGTTAATTCCGCTTCCCAATCGTAGCCTATCACGGCGGCGGCTTACGGTTGACCAGCTCGCTTCCCGAYGAAGTCAAACAAACCGAACATCGCAACTTTAAAGACACATTTACAGATCACCTCTCAATCCACCTCGCAAAGCAGCGACACTCTCTGCGATTCGCGAAACACCCAGCTCACTAGCACCACCGCCACAATGTCCAAGGAATTCACATTCTCCGACGTCGCCGAGCACACGTCCAAGAAGGACCTGTACATGATTGTGCACGACAAAGTCTACGATGTCGGCAGCTTTGTGGACGAGCACCCGTATGTTTACTTTTCCCATGCCACAAACTCCACTTCAGCAGTGAAGTGAGGTGACATTKACTGATTGTGGTACGATGCAGTGGTGGAGAGGAGGTCATGCTCGATGTAGGCGGTCAGGATGCCACCGAGGCCTTTGAGGATGTCGGCCACAGCGACGAGGCACGGGAAATTTTGGACGGACTACTGGTTGGAAACTTGAAGAGACAGGTAAGATCAATGGGCAGTTGTGGTAAGATGCAGGAATGGTTACTGATGGGGCGAATAGGAGGGCGACCCACAGCCAAAGACCGCCGCGCAGCAGGTCGCGGATGCTCGCAAGTCCACAGCTTCCTCCGGCGGCCTTGGTGTTGGCGTTTACGCCATTGTCCTTGTCGGTGCTGCTGCTGCTTTCTTTGCTTTCCAGTACCTGCAGAACAGTGAGAAGAAGTAAAGAGGACGATAAGCGAGTGTGAGGCGGTGATATGAAGGGAATGGAGAGCCGAAAGAAGAGATACATTGGTGGTGGAAGGAGGGATGGCTGTGATGGTAATGCTCCGAGCGTCTCAGGATCAACTGCTGGAGGTGTGCGTTCTGCGCTCCACGGAGCTGGACAGATGAACGTTTGTGCCGTTTATACTACTACATACGGGTAGCATATACCCAATTCGTAAGCAAAATGCTCGGGTTCCCACACAACGCTTCGCCGCCGGGTCCATGAGTTGCACACCTCCGCCTTTTGGGAAGAGGTGGAGGTGTACATGGTAGTGGACATACTCTCTCTCCCAAGGTATGTTGCCACTTTCTTCAACTCCACGTTTAGCCCATTCACTCCTCATCTCGCTTGCATGATGTTCGTATGAACTTTCCTCGATACTAATATGTTGAGTCGCCATTCTCCTCGCGCAGTTTGGCTAACGGATCGAACACGTGCACATCTGGCTACATGGAAAGTTCCACGAAACGACGAGAGAACAGTGAGATCATAGAACGGCATCAAGATGTAATTCCTTGTATAAGCTTTGTGCTTCTGCTAACCAACCCAGTTCGCTATGGTACTTTTCCCACTCATTGGCAAAAAACAAAGCTTCTATTAGTAGAAGTCGGCATACCACATACTGTAAGTACCAGGAGTGTTGTGGCGCTGAGCTAGAGTCCTGCTGCCTCGAACATTCTCCACCTCCGAGATCCTAGGTGGCGTCTGGTCCTCYCGCTATGCCCGGCGATTCTGTGCCTCGCAGATGTCGGGCAGTTCTCAGGGTAGCTCTAGGTGTGGTGTTACCGAAACGGTCCTCACTCCATTCCGCGACCATGATCCGCCCAGATTGTGGGTGGTGATGTCGACTCTGACTTTTGATTTGCGTGATGGAACTTAGTCGTCCTCGATTAAAAGTCGACTACCGTGTCAGATACGCTCTCAAGCTGGCATGCACCCGCATTGCTCTACTCTGACGCAATTTCACAAGTCTGCAATTTCCTACCAAACCCTTCAACTCCCATAACTCCGCCGCTATGCAACCAATACTTTACAAATGGAAATTGCTGCCATCAGGCCAGCTTGAATGGTATCTCCAATAACACAAGAGGCATCGAACAAACGAAAGAAATAGCAGGTGCTTTTCCTCTAGCTCGTGGTGCTGGTGTTGGTAGTCGCATCATCCTTGCTCTTGAACCAACCTCCTGCTGTGGCGCCGTAAATGACTACAGCGAGGATGATGATGATAATGATGGCAACTACAGACGAGTTAGTAAAGCATATGAGATTGGCTGTGGTCTACACTTACCGAGAATGCCCAAGCAGATCCACTTCTTTTTCCTGGCAGCACGGGCACTATCTACGGCCTTTGCAACATGCACGTTCCCGGCCTCAAGATGTGTGTGCGTCTCCTCGGCCTTCTGCTCGATCGCCATAACGGGGGCTTCCTGTTCGACAACAATAGCATCCAGGTCTTGAAACAACTGCTGCAGTTCGATCATTGTGCGTTCAATCTGCTGAATGGCATCGTGGCGTTGCTGGACATTCTTCAGTGTGCTCTGTGCTTGGCCTCTGCGGTCGGCATTCAGAAGCGCCTGCTGAAATATCTGCGTATCTCCACCCGACTCCGTAGCTTCTCTGATCTCCGACTCCGTCGCATCAGGACGCACAATGAGATATTGACGCCGCTGTTGCTCTGTGACCTCTTTGCGAAATTGTGATTCGATTTGCTGGTAGTTGTTGATGGCCTTGCGTATCCGGCGATCTAGAGCCTCAACCTGGGCCCGGTTGCGTCCGTTGGAGGCATCTGGTTGGCTCTTGATGCGCTTGACGCGGTCGGCCAGCCCACGGTATCCACTCATAATGTCTGCACTCAAGCCATCGACTTCCTTGTTAGAGGTGCCGGTGCCAGAGACGAAGTTGCGTTGCAGGCGCTGCAGGTCGGTCAGGCGGTTCTCGAGGTCGTCAATCGCACGGCCAACGGCACGACAGTCGTTGAGAATGGCATTTGGATCGCGAGGCTGTGGTGTGGCCGAGTATGGGGCTCCGTTGCCCGCGAGGGGTTGCATTTCGACGTCGTGTGCTTGTCCTGGTCATTTGTCAGTCTCGTGGATTGGCGAGATGGCGTCGACTCCGCAAGTCTACGCACCGTATGATGGAGGTGGCGCGTCGTAGCTGCCACCACGGGTGTCGTATGGGTTGGACTGGGCATATCCGCCATTGTTGTAGCTGTTGTACTGTGAGGAGGCCATGTTAGCTGCTGGTCCACCTCTGTCTGCACTGCTCCCATGATTTTATACGACACAATGCTCGCATCCTTCAACCTGCAGCCTGCGCATCGTACGAGCGGGGTTGGCCAGGATGTCGACTTACAGCCATTATTCTGGCGCCTGGTGTCGATCACCAGTGGTATATGCTCGTGATGTTGTTCCTCTGGAAATGCCAAAAGTTCTCTCAATGGTAAAGGGATGCAGAAGTAAGCTCAACGCTATGTGTGCTAGAAAGACAATGCGGCAGAATGGGAAGGCGAGGTTGTTGTCGAGCGAGGGGAGAAAGCAGCTGAAGATGAAACAACGCGATCCCCTGGAAACCTGAAAGCAGACGGGACGCCCGCGGAAAGCGACCCTTCTTTGGATTCGAAGGTAGCGCGAAGCTCAGCCGCCCGGGAACGTCCGTTGCCGCGCTCTCGTGTTTGCCGCGTTTTGCAGCGCCTCGATTCCCGCGAATACCTAACGGCGGATTCCTTGGATTCCTTCACAGCCGTCCCAAATCAAGGAATTGACCATCATCGTGTACCGGGATGAGGGAATGGCGATACGAGGTATTTTTGGCTGCTGACAAGACGCCTTCAAGCCTTCAAGGGACTGCAAAATACGACATCCGCTGCAGCATTTTGGAGATTCATCTCTGTACCTCTGCTATTCATTCTCCGCCACGAAATCCTCAAAGTCAATCTCGAAATCTCCTCCCTCAAGCTCTACTTGCTCAGCCTCCGCTATATCACCAGGTACCACGACTTCAACATCTTTCTCCTCATCGATTTCTGCAATGTCCTGTACGTCCGCTCCCATTCCGCTTCCTCTCTGGTATCCCAACTTCATCATTTCCGCCGCCACCTGCGAGATAGGTAATTCTTCACTTTGCGATTCCAGCAACTGCTGCTCGGCAGCAGGTGATGGCAGATCTGTAACGTCGTTGCTATACTCCCCCAAAAGGTCTTTCAGGCCTTCTCTCTGCTCATACAGAATGCCATAACCCTGCACAATTTGCGCTGCATTGACTGTAAGGCTTTCCAACATGCGGTCATACAACGGTCCCTCCTTAGTCTGCGACATTTCCGCTACCATATCCGGATGAACCCAGATGGACTCAGCCACTTCTGTGGCCGTGACTTTTTTATCGGTCAGCCTGGATGCGAAGAAGAAACAGGACGCTGATAGCTTGTTGTTTGACAACTCAGGGTTCCAATTTTCCGGACGGATGATGTGATCCAGGATGTTCAAGGCGAGGATGATTGTGTCTTCGCTGTGGTCCAAATTGCCATGCGTCGCGAAAGCAAAACTTGCGGGTCCAGATTCCCAGATGCCGTTGTAAACTCTCTCGACTTTGGGAGGTGGCTCTTTGATTATCGCTTCGGTATGCGCTTTCTGTGCAGAATGAGGTCGGGCGTCTTGCGTGGGCTTGACTGGTGCCGATGTCTCAGGGTCGCCATTGTGTGGCGATGGCACTCGACCTTTGATGAGATCTGGCAATAACTCCCTTATTTGGGCTTTCGGTCCAGACGCTTGTCTCCCTCTGCCGCTGGTTGCCCTCCTTGAAGATGCGCCTCTGATCGAAATGCCGTTGGCTGCGTCACGGGAACTCGCCTTCCCAATCCTCCCACGGTTGTTATGTCTCCCGGCAGGCATCTTGTTCAAACTATAAGCGTTGGTATTATGCTATCGTAGTATGGCTCGTCGAGTAGACAACGGGCGAGGTGCGCCTTTGTCTCGCCGAGCAGGCCGAATTCGGCTGGAATGCATCACTACCGTCGTCTTTGTCCAGTATCCCACACTTGTCTTTGCAAAGACAAAGGAGGCGGAGATCCTGTGCGTGACTTCGAACGCTTTTCAACACAGCATTTGCTGATGTGGGAGCTCACGCATGTGACAGGGCGTCTGTGCTTCGCTTAGGGTTAGGGTTGATGTAGTGACTGTTTCGAAGTCCTGACTGATGTGTATGTGGATACAGCCGCGTCTATTAGCGAGGCACGAACTAGACAGTGGATATTAATAGGGCGGGAATTGGTTAGGTGATGATCCTCCACGCAGCGTGCTGGATATGTCAGTTGCTTGCTTTTATGATCCGATTTCGCTTGGCCGGATTTTCAGCTCGAGCAGCCACGGACAATAGCTTATCCGGAACCAGCCAGACACATGCGAATCAATCGTGGTCGAACACCTATCTGCCTACACTATTTAGGCCTATGTTCTACTTCCCATGTGCTTTCTATAGTCCAACCACTCCACAAATGTATTTTGTTAGCGAAGTACATCGCCCCAAGTGAAAAGGGCACATTCATGTAGGCGGAGCAGGCATTATTGCGTGATGTATCATTGCAACAAGACATTCATGATAGGGCGGAGTCTGTGTTTTCGAAGTGTCACCTCCCACATATCTCTAGACCCATATGAAGGGTATCCTGATCAGCAGCAGGGTCCATTGTTCGCGTGTAGGAGCGCAAAGAGAGCAATCTGCTTGCACTGACTATCATATATCATCTACCAAGACTGCGCCGTCCACCTGTCGATTCTCCTGCGCGAAGGACCCTCGGCGACCATGCTCCTGCTATCGCAAATACCCACGTCCTGCAATGCTGAAACGCCCGTTCCGTCTACCAAGTCCATTCCCTCAAAGTCACGGACAGAAAGGTACCGCGTCGGGCACTCCTTGTCTTCCAACTCAGCCAGCCAGTCCTCGACCCTACCCCGATTGCACTCCTTGATCATGTCTTTCTCCATACTCACTCGGTATCCATCATCGATATCGTCCACAAATCCAGATTCAATATCTGAGTATTTGAGCTGGAGTCCAGCTGCAACGGCCGCTGCTTTGGATACTTCGTACTCGGCTTCGGCATTGATCAGGTCTCGAGTCATCTGTCTCGTTTCTTCGCATACGCAGAGGTCGAATTCTGTCACTGATTCCACCTCCTCACCGGCCGCTATCTGCTTGAGACGACTCCTCTCGAGCTCATCAAAGAGGGCCTCCTTAGTATAGAAGCGCACCTCGCAAGTTTCTAACTCTGCTCGCTTGTTGACGTAGTCCTTGAGAAGAGTTGCTCGGGTCTTAGCTGCGCTTGCGACTTGTTCAGAATCCTCCGCACGATTCAATGCTTTGGTGATATTCGTCGTACTTCTTCGCAGCTGCTGGGTGGGCATTGCCGAGCCGTCTGCATCGCTGCTTTCCGCTGGTGCGGATCGCATCGCATGCGGAAGAAGGCCCTGACTCACAAGCGTTGTGTCCAAAGCGTCGAATAGCACGCATTGCTCGTTCCGGAAGTCTTGGTAGAGCTCTGACATGTGGCGCTTCAATCTCTGCTGTCGCTGCCAATTGTCTTCCTCTGCTTCGCGGAGGTCGGAGATGGCGCCATATAAGGCATCAATCTCTGATGATACCTCCGTACTCGTCTGACCAGCCTTCAAGTCCTGGATCAAGTCGTGGAGCCCTTGTGCTTGCTTCGAGATGGTACTAGCTTGATTCTCAAGAGCTTCCAGCTGTTCATCGGCATCGTGCTCCAGGGATTTCAATGTCCGGTGCTCCCGTACAGCTGTCTGAAGCTGTTGTGCGATAAGAGAGCCGTGGGGAATGGTAATGTGATCTTGGCGATGTTGGGGTTCGTGAATGGACTCAGGTGAGCTTTCATCGTTGCATGCCCCCTTCGCGGCACCTGCTACCACAGAGGAGGACATCATGGCTCCACTGTCTGCGCGCGCAACATCTGGATTGCGAAGAATGAGCTTCCTATCAGGTCTATCCATGCCTCCAGAGCGTAGCTTAGAGCCTTCGAGATGTGTTGTATCGTGTGGTTCACTCGAGTCGACCTCGACCTCTGCAACATGTTCTACCGAGACATGGTCGTCTCCTAGCTGTAGACCAGTAGCATCGTCACCTTCCTCGAAAGAGGCGTTGTCTTCCTCGCCATCTGAATGTCGAATTTCGCCTTGCACGTCGTCTGTCTCCTTGGAGACGGGATCAATGGTCACAGTGTCCTTGGATTCTTTCTGAGTCTTCGAGTGTCCTTTCCAAGACTGCAGGTGAGGCGCGAGCCCAGCAAAAAGCTTGCTGAACTCGACCTTCACCGCGCGCGCAACAATTCGGGGGGTACGGATCACCATTTTGCTGGCACTGSACACTGTGTTGAGTGTTGTAAAGGGTGTTCTTGGTAGGGAGAACAACTGTGAAGAGTCAAAGAATTTGGAGAATGAGTGTTTTAGAGTGCAGTTCAAAAAAAGGTATTCATGTGTTTTGTGTTAGCGTCAAGACAAACAATGGGATCAAAAAAGGTAAATCCACAATGCGGCCAAAAAAGTGTATGCTATTGTCGGACGTCCTCCCGAACATTAACAGACTCGGCCAATGCGGGCCCGAGGTGAGCGAGTCTCAGTCAAGATGTTTGGAAGGAGGAGCGTGTGCCGAGAGAATGACCCACAGGTCATAACGTCCTTTGGAGAAACGCCATCGCGAGCACGACATGCAGAGATAATTCCTCAACCGTCAAGCTCTTCGAACCTGCCGTCATCTATGGCCTGTTGGACAGGGTTCTTGACGTCCACGACACCCGTAGCTCTGAGACGTTCGAACAGAACGAATAGTTTTTCAGCCTCGCGTTCTTTCTCCTCCTCTGTCATATCCTCTGCGACGAACGAATCACGATTTTCTGCGCTGAGCCTCTGACCAGTAATCGGGTTGATGTCAACATATGCGTCCACATCGCCGCCACCCGGAGCGCTGTTCGTATCCATTGMACTGCTTGGTACTGCGATGTTATGGCTCATTAGAAACCCAGAGGCAAAGCCATATCCGATGTCCTTTATGAACTTGGTAGCATCTTTGTCGCTGAGCTCGAACAGCAAGCCCGATATGTTCTCGCGGAGAGTCGGAACAGAGGGCGAAGTTGAAAGTCGCAAGAGACGTGACGGGAACGTTTGGCCCTGTCCCAAGGGCTTGTCGCGGTCCTCGGCTGTGGGAAGTAGAAGGCGTCGCATTGACAATTGCATTTGTGGTGATCCAAGTTCGTACAGTCTCCGCAGTATTGTGCACAGTGGTGCTGCTGTCAGCTCGAGATCTTTCTCTGGCTGATTCCGTAATGCGGCGTCGAATATTTTCACAAAGCGTTCCACCACAGATGCTGGCTCGGAATAGGGAAGATCGAGACTGGAACGAGATTTCCCGTCCAATGGCGTTCTCTCCTCGATCGCTTTCAGATCCAGATTCAGCAAAGCGTTAATAATGGAGGTGATTGGCGGTTGTAATGGCTGTAACTGAAGATCGTGGTGAATTATGATGTCGATCAGTGGTTCAACAGAGGATGTGAACTTGGGGACCGTCTCCGGATAGAAGGCGGTCAGATTGAACATCAACTTTGCAGTCTCCACCATTGCCATGTCTTGCATGGGTGATTTGACCGACTCCTTCCTKCCAGTAGTGGAACAACTCCTGGCATGCCGAAGTATATTTTGGTTGATACTCTCTGTCAGAGAATGGGCACTGACCAACAGCTTGAAGTCGACATTTGGGTTATAGGTCAGGTAGAAAAGGATTCTCGAGATTAGGAATTCATCGTCCGGACTGTCAGTGTTCAGCCGTTCGGCTGCCTTGCGGGCGTAATCGAGGTCGACAAAGATCTGGCGAGAGGGCTCAAACAGGAGAAATGCATTTGCCAGACATCTCAGAGCTTCCCGAGATGCCTCCACGGAAGCCGTCTGATCAAAACCATATTTCGAAAGAACGGAAATGCCCTGAGAACATCAGCTGTGAAGCATTCAGTCAGACTTGCCCGAGGCTTACCCGTTCCAAGAAAATAGGGCCTGCGGTATCCTGGTTACGACCCAGAATCTTCACCCGGGCTAGAAGCTCTTCCTGCTCTGCAGCAGTGTCAGCCTCTCATTAAGTACGTCCGACCGAATGGAGCACCTACTCTTGAGAGAGAGCTTGGCGTCAACAAGGTTCCTGTCCAGCTCGGCCAGGAGACGATCGACTTCCACAAGGCCGGCTGCATTTGCATTAGTAGACTGGACACGGGTGTGCAAGCTGCGGTACGCACCACTTGGCGAGGTGTTTTGAGCTTGCGTGGCCATGGTTGGCTAGTTTCACCGGTACTTCTTCTTCTCGAGGAGACAGATTGGGAAGGTGAAGAGTAGTTATTGCAAGACGAACACTCACAATGGCGTCCGGCTGATGATCAGCTTGGAAGTTTGTAGTGTGTGGGCTATAGACGCGGAGATAAGGTTGCGCTACGATGGCTCGGGCCGAGGACGGATGGCGAGGGTCCATGGCAACCGCGACCATATAAAATGAGCCTTGGAACCGAAAGAGTGACTGGAAACATTCGAAGGGTAAGTGTATGGCTCACAGCACCTGCCTCCACCTTCGATAGAGGTCCTACTGTGCTCGCGTTCAACAAACTCCCAAAGACCATTTTTCGTCGAGGTCGAATTAGCGGCTTTGACCAGCCACGCGCTGCTTCGCGTCTCGCGTCGAGCTAGGATTCGCGAATCAGTGCTCTTCCACTTCCACATACAAGCTGAGACGGTTGCCCACCTCACGACATGCAGACATCGCGTTGATTTTTCCTTTTTGGAGTCACGGGTGCAAGACACCATGGCTACTCCTGGTTCGTCGTCGTCTGTCTTTTCATCGTTGCCAGCCAGACCGCCGACGCCGCCGCGTGACATTTCGAACGAGGCCGACGATGCACTGCGTTTCTTGCAGGAAGGGCATCAGAAGAGCGACGCACCCACGCAGGGAACCTCGACGGCCCGGCCACTGCCATCTACAGACACTCCACCGCAACGCTCACCTACATCCTCGCAATCACGAGGATCAAATAACGCGAAGAAAGTCGACTTTTCGCCTTGGCCGACATACCACAAGATACCTCATCTTGGACAGTCCAGCTCGCCTCAGACTCGGGCTCTGAGGCAGACACCGCTGTCTCGAGCAGCAAAGCCGCTGAAGTCAATCCTCAAACCCGCCGCCGATCGACTCCCCCCAACTCCCGACGAGCTCAGCGACAGCAAGCTCAGTTACTTCTCACCCCAAGAACCGGGCAGCTTTCGCAAGATGCTCCAATCGGTCCTGCATCAGTTGGAAAGCACATCGCGCGATGCACGCCGTGACGCATATCTTGCCCTCAATGGGGCTCTCAAGGCGTATGAGGGTGTGCCTGAGCCTCAGGCCATCGTGGAGAAGATCAAGCCCTTGATGCAGTTCATAACGCGAGACATGGCGTGGAAAGACGAAACGGGTCGCCTCGAAACCAATGTGGTCACTCAGGCGCTGACACTCACATGTKCAATCATGTACAACCCCCACACAGCCCACGCCTTGGACGATGACTTCCGCTCTTTCCTCGTCGATCGCTCGATCTTTGTTATGGAGCAGGCGGACATGCCCAAAGCTATAATCAAGAGCCACATGTTTCTCCTGTGTCAGCAGCGGTTCTCCACCAGCGTTTTGACAGTTGCACGAGCGGAGAAGCTGATCACGACGTTGCAGACAGTGGAGAGCAGATGCAGTGGAAATAGCGTGTACTCAGCCCGCATGGTGATATACAGTCGACTAATAGAGCAGGCGGCCGGTACAATGCTCAGCAGGATGCGGGACTGGATCGAACACGTATTCCACGGTGTGCTCAGTACATCAAAAGACCTGCGCACTCGAGCGATTGAAGCCTGCACAGCGGCTGCACTAATTCTCGGACATCACCAGCAAGCGAGCAAGGTTCTATACGAAGTGTGCGAGAAGGAGGCAGAGGATGGAGCAAGCTATGGCGATTACCTCAACCTGCGACTGATGAAGATGACGGGGGATAAGGAGGTGGCAGAGTTTGTTCCTCAAATATGGTCTGCAATCATCATGTTCTTCCGTTGCAAGCGAAAACCGGTGGAGAAGTGGCCAAAGTTCAGGACCTGGCTCTTCACGATCCAGAAAAGCCTTAACTCGGGCGATCTGAATGTCAAACGCCAGGCCAATATCGCATGGAACCGATTGGTGTTCTCCGTGATGCCCGACTCGACCACCACGGAGACGATGCGGTCGATGCTGAGAGTTCCCATTGAGAAAGCCTTGGAAAAGAAGGGCAACGATAAGCACTCCCAACAGCTTCGTCAATTTGCGCTGGACAGCTATTGCAWTCTCCTACACTACGCCTTACGGCCGGAACTTTCCCATGAGGAACTTGACTTGGCTTGGGACATGTACGTTGCTCCCCTCTTGGCTCTCATGGCGAAATCGAGCAGCCGGGGCCAGTTGAATGCTTGTCGCATTCTTCACGGCTTGTTCAAGAGGGGTGGCGGTCAGTGGAATGTCAACGCGGTGAATGAATCGGAAGCCATCAAACCAGAAGAGCTTCCGGGGCTGGATCCGCGGTGGCTACGCTCACGGCTTGGCAAGGTCATCAATGTGTTGGAGCCCATCATTGTCGCCGGTATGCAAAAGTCGCCTAAATACATTGAACAGATCGATTGCAGCTGGAAATTCTTACTGCAAGCCGTGGCCGAAGCTGGCAGCCAGGAGGTCAAAATGTCGAACGAATTGAAGGAGGCTATTGCTCAGCTGACCAACCTCTTCCGTCGGACCTGGACCTCCTCAAACCAGCTATCGGCAGAAAGGGACAGCTCTTTCTGGTTTTCCCGATATCAGACGTTGCTGCAAATCGCAGTTGACGCGATTGGAGCTGGACACTTTGTCGAAGACGTGCTGCACAAAACAACTACAGACGACGTCGAGGCCGCGCCTACACCATTGCACAGGCCTTCAAAACATCATGCGCCCACGCATTCTTCTTTCGTCTTCTTGTTTGCACTCTACTGCCAGCCGCCGTCATCATTGCTCATTGACAACAACTATCAGGAGCCTATTACTTGGTTCCTTCGTCTTCTGTCAGGTGCAAAAGGTTCGTCCAGCGGAGTCCTCGCACTGCTGCATCGTGCAAATCACTTCGCCTCGCAGCCTCATGCCGATAAAGACACCTGTGAAGCCGCAGGATTGGTCTGGATTGCTGTTGCGGATCTCGCTTTGGAGTTGGTGCAGAAGTCCTTGTCGAAAACTCTTCAACATGACACCATCGTCGTGGGAGTCATTCTACGCTCTGCACTGAACATTCTTGTTGACGGGCTTGCAACCGTCAGTGACTCTCTTGCTTGCATAGAAAAGGCACTCGAGCTCTATTCAGCATACTGCAAGTGTGCCAAATACCACGCTGGTGACGGCGGTGTGGTGCTAGGTGTCATGGAGCCATTATCCGTCTCCTTGCTGGAAAAGGCGGAGAATATTCCGTTCAGCTCTTTGATGAGAATCACCGTTGAAATGCTGAAACGTGGAGTTTGGCCCAAGAATCGACAAGAACTTGACCACAGCCGGAAAAAATTATGGGCGGTTAGTCTCGAATTGTCCAAGGGCTCGACGTTTGACCCCTTTGATGGTGTGTATAAGCTGTTGGACCATGTCTTTGAAGATGCCTACAGAGAGCTTGCGAATCCACGCGAAGGCGGTAGCCAGCTCTACCACGACTGCTTCACATTGCTTACAGAATTTCTACGACGCTGTCCCTTACCGATACTCCCTACTGTTCTGCGCAAAATCCAGCGCAGCCTCTCGACCTGGATCTTGGACACGGATCGTTTCGTTTTCCTCCTTGTTCAACCTACCACAGACAAATTATCGCCACATGCGATCGATTCAAGCGTGATTGTTGAGTTCTGGTCAAGCATACTGCAGCTTATTGGAAAAATTCCTCGTAAAGACACTCCACTACTGCAATCACTGGAAAAACTCCTGGTCGCTGGATTTTCTAGCCCTAGCAAGACAGTTGTAAACAGCACCATCTCTTTCTGGAACGAGTCGTTCGGCAACGAAACTCTTCTGATATATCCCCCGACACTGCAGTCGGTCTTGCGCGCACGGCGTGCACAGACAGAATTGTCGCTCCCTGGATTTCCGGAGGACTTCAGTGACATGGACATTGCAATTCTTCCAGCATTCGAAGAGTCGCAATGTCCTCCTGCGGTACCGGCATTTGCTTTCGCCCCTGCGCCACGCACCACCAAGCAGTCGAAGCGGCTCCAGTCTGCAGAGAACACACTGATAAAGCAACACCTWGCCGCGAACGACCTCCCATACGATGCAGTGGCTGTTATGGGCAGCTCGTCCGCAAGCTCCACGCCTGCCAAAGCAAAGTCGGGTTCCAGACTTCGCCACCAAGATTCTCAGATAGCATTCGCCCCCATCGACTCATCATGCCCGAGCAACGCTTTCGAAGAGTCACAGCTCCTCACGGAACGCCAACGAGACGTCAAGGAACGGCAACGTGGGGACGCTCAAATGTTTCCCGACCTCTCATCTAGTCCAGTTCCTAAATCGACCGCATCGAAGAATCGCCTGGCTAAGAAGTTGGACTTCACCTCCGATCCCGAGCCAAGTGAGAATGAAGATTTGAACGTCACCCCGACAGGTCCCTCGGATGGAAACCTCATGAGCGATGACCTTCCGTCTTCGCCCACTCCTCGTGCTAGCGCTGCTACGCGTGGCGCCGWCGAGGCCGATGGCGTAGATGAGGATGCCTATGAGACTGACTGCGATCCCCCTTCGTCTCCTCCGAAGCAGGAGAAGAATGCGATCCATACTCGGCTGCAGCGAGACCAGGAGAAGACCACTGAGAGTGATATTGATTGCACGACTGTGGTTTCGGAGGATGCAAACGATGAAATGCACGACAATCGATCCAACCAGGACGCTTCGCACAAGCGCTCGCTTCCGGTGGGCGCATCAGATCCGCCGTCCGATACAATGCTTCCAACTGCCCAGCTGCAACGCGAGGCCGCAGCCGCAGAGAGCGAGGCTGCTATGGCGAAGAGTCCTGTCGTGGTGGAAGAGACTGTGATTGAAGCGGACTTGCCAAAAGACTCGCAACGCACACCACAAACCCCTTCTAGAATCGAGAACACGACACTAGAGGATGGGACGACACGTACCACCAACACGAACACGCCAAGAAGCCTTCACGGAAGCAAGAAGCGTAAGCGGACCTCGGAGACGGTGTTTGCTTCCAAGAAGCGCAAGCAGTCCCCATTCAAGACCTTCTTCTCAGGTCTTCTGGGCCGCAGCCAGGAGGCCGATGACGAGATTGATGATGAGATTGTCGTGGCCGGCAGTCAGGGTCATGATGAGCCATCGCTTTCCCCACAACAGGATGATGTCGCGATCGAGGAAGACACCTCTTCGCAGATATATTCCACATCAGGCAAGACATGGTCACCTCAAGTACTAGTTTCCCCTCCTGCCCAAGCAGCTGTGGAAGGCATTCATTCACAAGAGACTCGCGACATCGCCGTCAATGAGCCAGAAGTCACACGCAAACGGGGACGCGGTCGGCCCAAGAAGAAGTCCCATAATCGAGGATCTAGCAGTGGGCCTCCTCCGGCCGTAGCAGGAATCAAACGGTCTGCATCTGCTCTCGATGCTGCAAGCACAGACAGTCACCATACCTCGAGTACAAGTCGGATTGAAGACACTCCGGCACCACCACAAACGCGTAAGCAGCGGAGGGCGGAGAATGCAGCTCAGGATGCATCTAGAAGTGCGTCTCAGAACGAGTCTCAGGCTACGAGTGGCACATCTGCCAACAGTGAGCAAGGTGATCAACAGCCTGCGGCAAACGCCAACCGCGGCAGGAAGATTGCGAAGCCGACCAGCCTCATAGGAAAATTGAAAGGTGCGCTTGCAGAGTGCAAGAAGATGATCTTGGGCACAGATGAGGATGAAAGGGCTATTGACGACTTGATGTTCGAAATTCGACGGGAGGTCTTTGAGGCGAGAAGAAGAGGGAAAGCTTAGTGAAAGTTTCACAAGCATGCAAATAACTATGTATCTATCGAATAGACAGGCGGCATGGAAATGCCTCGGACTGTCTTCGAAACAAGACTGCATGAGCTTCAACGGTTTCCTACAGTATTTCATGCCAATCACATCAAGTGGTGTTTGCATTTCACCAATTTGAAACACGAAGCTCGACGTGCCCCACCACCTTGCATCGCCGTCATTGTTTATCCTCCCCTCTTCAACTTCTCTCTCGCCATTGCTCAACCACAACCTTATCGTTTAACAAGCAGTCATGGGTGTGTATTCTGCCAAACTTTGTGAAGTGAAGCTTGAACTGACATCGACATGATGACTTACAGATCGTCCCAACAAACCCTCCGCGATCTCGCCGTCTACGACTGGCCCTCAGCCATCTGTGCACGTCGAACAGGGCCGAGTGGTTGCCACACTTCCCACCGGTGACTCCGTCGAAGTTCTTCTCTATGGTGCAACGGTCTATAGCTGGAAGAGTGCGGGCAAAGAGAGATTGTGGCTCAGCAGTGCCGCGAAGCTGGACGGAAGCAAACCAGTGCGAGGCGGCATTCCAGTCGTGTTCCCAGTACGACAACCTTGGGGTGGGAAAGAGATTAGAGGATAACATTGACCATGACTGTAGGCATTCGGACCACCTCCCAAAGACCACGCTACTGGCGGTCTTCCACAGCACGGTTTCGCGCGGAACTGCCAATGGGAATACCTAGGCAAATCGTCCTCTGAGTCGGGCTCGTTGTCCAAAGGCGGTGATGACAGCGTCAAGTTGGACTTTGGACTTTCATCGAGCAACCTGAGTTCCGAGGCGAAGAAGGCGTGGCCGTATGAGTTTGGACTGGTGTATAGTGTGACGCTGAGCAAGGACGGTAGACTTCAGACCATGCTCAGTGTGAGGAATGATGGCAAGGAGAGCTTTGAGTTTCAGATGCTGTTCCACACCTACTTTGCCATTGAGGTGAGTGTCGTCAAAACGCAAAGTGACGCGATCAAATCTAACATATTGCAGGATATTTCGAAGACACAGGTCACTGGCCTGGGAAGCACGACATATGTCGACAAAATGCTCAACGCTACAGAGCACCAGCAGACTACCCCTAACGTCACATTCTCCGGCGAGGTCGATCGTGTGTACAAGGACATCAAGCAGGATACCACTTCGATTGTGGTTGATGGAAAGCCTACGCTCGACGTGATTAGAGACAACCTGGCAGACACTGTGGTGTGGAACCCCTGGATTGAGAAGTCGAAGGGCATGAGTGATTTTGAGCCCAAGGACGGCTACAAGAAGATGGTGTGTGTCGAAGTGGGTGCTGTCGATGGTTGGCAGAAGCTAGACAGTGGCGACACCTTCGAGGCTGGTCAGTTGTTGAGGGCATATTGACTCGATGAAGCAAAGGAGAGGGTGCTGGCACGGCAAAGCGCTTTGCTTTGACACGACGGTTCGATGGAAGTGTCATGGGACGCATGCCCACACTCCTCCGAACSACCAAAAGTCTAGGCGATAAGCCTGGGAATGATTCACGCAGCGAAAGAGTATCAWCTCTGCATTTTGAAACTGGAAATCGATCATTGGTGTGCTCTCGTAAAACTGCATCGCGCCTGAGCACACCCCATAGTCCTGTCTGCACCAAACGCCGTCCTGCTCTGCCCGTCCCGAGCTGTTCATTTCCCATGCCATGATAATGAGCCATAGAGAAGACATTAGTGAAAGACGTCCTTACCTCCTCGTTCTCAGTCCTCTAATCCAGCCGCATAGTCTCGTTTACGTCGTGCCTGTTCGTCGCGCATCCTCAGCGAAAGCCATTCGTCCGTCCACCGAAATCCTTACTGCCGTCTTGGAAGTWTGCGTGGTGCACTGCCTGCTTCGCGCTCATGCGTCCAGCGGGATCGAACACGAGCAGAGCATCCAGCAAATTCAGACCCTCCTCGCCTAATATCTTGACAGCCTCCGCACTGACCAGCTCGTCATCCTGCTTACGCTCCCACTTGGGGAAACTCGCCTTGAAGTCGGGGAAGGATGTCACACCTGGCCAGTCCTGCTCGCTCGGTGTGCCCAGAACGCGGAAGATCTTGAAGATCTCGTCAATCTCCGAGTCGCCGGGGAAGAGCGGCTTACGGGTCGCCATCTCGGCGAAGATACACCCAATGGACCACATGTCGACACCTGTACTGTATTGTCGGCCACCAAGCAGAATCTCTGGGGATCGATACCAGAGTGTGACGACTTCGTGGGTGTAGGTGCGTAGTGGGACGCCGAATGCGCGCGCGAGACCAAAATCACCAATTTTGAGGTTGCCGTCTGCGTCGATGAGGAGATTCTGTGGCTTGAGGTCGCGATGGAGGACACGGTGTGAGTGGCAGTAGCGAATGCCCTGCAGCAGCTGGAGTGTGAACTTCTTGACCTGGTTGGTGTTAGCCTAGAATACCGTCCCTTTCAGCAGGTGTGTATGCGTACCACCGCCTCGCCCAGTCCCTGGTGACCCTTGGCTTCCAACACGCCCTCAGGAAGGGGCTTGCCACGTCCACCCTGAGCGACAGGAAGTGCTTCCATGTACTTCTTCAGATCGAGATCCATGAACTCAAAGACCAGGTACAATTTGTGTCCATCGGCGTGTACGATGTTGAGCAGGCGCAGTACGTTTGGGYCGTTCATCTCCTTGAGCAGACTGATCTCGCGAATCGCAGTTGACGGGACGCCTTCATCCTCGGCTTCGAGGCGAATCTTCTTCAGCGCGACGATACGATGATCGGGTGTACTGAGGTCGCGCGCCTTGTACACAACTCCGTATGTGCCTTCGCCGACCTTTTCCATTTTCTGCAAGCACCCATTAGCCTCACTCAGCCCTACCAAAGTTCCTTTGCGAAAGTTCTACCTGGTAGTTCTCCATGCTGGCGGCAGCGAATCGGATTGTGCGAGCGATTGGGATTCGAGTTATGACGGCGGCGGTGTGGTTAGTATCGACTACGTTGTTTCAGATCCATCCAGTGTCCAGGAGTTGTTTGTGATTGTCAACAAGAGGGTCGTGCTCTTGGACAACTTCACGCGTTGCGGGTGGGGTGCGGGCGGGACGGCAAGGACCCTCCACCGGCAACAGGCACTTTCCAAGGTCGCCCCGAGCGATCTCAATCAACGCGATCGCGAATTATTAATAATCTCTCGATTGCAAATGTTGCTCATACACATTGCAGGGACGACCAGTTGACAGCGAGACTATTGGACACGAGAAGCATGCTCTTTTCCCAGCGGTGAAGGTCCGAAGTKTTCGTCTCTCACTTGTTGGTCGCATGAACGTCAGCCGACTTTCAACATCGCAATCGCAATCTCAGGAATATAGACAAGGCCCGTTTGTTCGAGCGTGCGATCATTTAAACACATATGACGGCCATATCACATCGGATCTGGAATCTCAAGCAATCTCTCACGAGGCTTTCGAGGCTTTCAGCTAAATAGCGTCATCACGTGGCAGCGCGCCATCATCGCGTATCAACTCGTTCACAACCACAACCATGGCACCGAGCAGGGGAAAAGGCAAGGCTACTGGAAAAGGCAAGACCAGCGCAGGTCGAAGATCTGGACGATCCGAGGCTGTTGAGAGTGATCTCCCAGACGTGTTCCAATCCATGCTCCAGGAGGCCGATGTTGAACAGTCCGATGACCCAGTTCGACCTTTGAAGAAGAGGCGAGTCGCTGTTCCTGAAAACGAGAAAAGTCTACCTGTGAAGCCAATTGCCCAGTCTGCTTCAAAGTCGGAWCCCCGGCCAAACGTGAAGCCCGCTTCGCAGCTGCAGACGATCGAGGATTCATCCGAATCTGACACCAGCGACATCGAGTTCGAAGATGTCGATCTCGGTCGTGCTGACGAGACGTTATCGGAAGGACCAGAAGACAGCATCGAAGATCTCTCGATATCCATCCCAGCAGTGAGTAGCACAAAGCGAAGTGGCCAGCCTAGGCGAAAGCCCGCCACATACGCCGAAAAGGCTCATCGGCTCGTGGTCCACAAATTGCATATACTGTGCCTCCTAGGACATTGTATGTATGTGAATGGGTGGTGCAGCAATGTTGCCGTCCAGAGGCATCTCCGGACCCTCTTGAACGCCAAAACCGTGTCATACCTCAATCCCAAAGCCGGTCTTTCTCAGTTCCAGCAGAATCGATCGTTCCAGGACGGACTCAAGCAAGCAATCGATGCCTTCAGCGCCGAGTATCAGATAATTTCTCGCGGTCTTCAAAGACCGCATTGGGATGTTGAGGAAGAGCCATCTGTCGATCGAGAGTACGCAGCTGCCATGGACAGAGCAGACTTCATTGCATCAGCGAAAGATTTAGCCGGCTCCCAAGACGTTGGTAACCAACTTTTCTGCGCTCTACTTCGGTCTGTGAATGTTCAGACTCGCTTGGTCTGCTCACTGCAGACTCTGCCTTTTGGAAGTGTGCCAAAAGCWAGCACTCCCAAAAAGCCAGCGAAGCAGAAGATCATGGCTATGGCGCCAGGCTCACTGCCTGCCTCTCGACTCAGTGATGATGATTCACCACTTACTGGCTCGAAGATTTCCGCAATTCGCAGAAGACTTGGACAGCCCGTGTTTGCGGAAAGCGCACCTCAACCGCCGCCGAAGAAGCCGAAACCTGTGCCGAAGCTAGCTTATCCTGTGTACTGGGTTGAGGCTTTCAACATTGCTCACCAGAAGTGGGTAGCGGTGGACCCAATTGTTACACATACTGTTAATCAGCCCACGAAGATCGAGCCACCAACTTCATATCATCTTAACCAGCTCACTTACGCTATTGCCTTCGAAGCTGACGGTTCTGCGCGTGATGTTACCAAACGGTACGCCAAAGCCTTCAACGCGAAAACTCGCCGACAGCGGGTAGAATCTTCAAACGAAGGTGCAAGGTGGTTTAAGAAGGCTATGCGCATCTTTCTTCGACCTAGAGGCTCACTGGACCGAGATCAGGTCGAGGACGCAGAGCTTGCGCAGAAGGAAGCCAGAGAAGGCATGCCTGCAAATGTGCTTGACTTCAAAGACCATCCTTATTACGCGCTTGAACGGCACCTGAAGCGGCACGAAGTCATTCATCCAAAGCGAGAGGTGGGCAAAGTGAATGCTGGAACAGCCGCAAAGCCTAGGATGGAGGTCGTCTACCGGAAGCAGGACTTGTTGTCATGCAAAAGTTCGGACAAGTGGTATAGATGTGGAAGGGAGATCAAGGCAGGCGAGCAGCCCCTGAAGCATATTACCAGACGAGTGAGACGGCAGCGTTCAGTTGAGGATGACCACGAAGAACAAGATGGCGACGTGACATCCACGGGTCTCTATTCTCCCCAACAAACTCAGCTATATGTCCCGCCGCCGGTCGAGAGAGGTCGCGTCCCGAGAAATGCTTACGGCAATCTGGACATTTATGTTCCGTCTATGGTTCCTGCTGGAGGGACGCACATCCGCCACAAACTCACGAAAGATGCGGCGCGACTCCTGCGGGTCGATTATGCAGACGCCGTCACGGGATTTTCATTCAAGGGCAGACAGGGCACTGCCATTGTTGAAGGTGCCGTCGTAGCTACGCAATTCGCAGACGCTGTCCAGGCCGTCATCGATGGGTTCGAGGACCAAGCTGTCGAGGACGAAAGCAGAGTCCGCAGTCTGGAGGCCTTGCGCCTGTGGAAGAGATTTGCAGTTGGCCTCAGAATCGTAGAGAGGGTCAGTGGATACGGGGATGGGGCGAATGATGTGGATATGGGAGAGCGCCCTGAGTATGACGGTACTATCGCGGAACCTGGTGGCTTCTTCCCGGGCGCAATAGGAGAGGAAGAACATGCGATGCCCACCGCTGGCAGGTTTTCGGTCACGGAATTGAAGCGGAGGCCGAATCCGAAACGCAAGGTCCATGGTGAAGAGAGCGAGGAGGAAGCAACGCTAGTTGAGGATGATGAAGACTATCAGCCTCAGCAGCACTCAGATACGGATCTTGCTGGCGGCTTCATGTCTGTTGACGATAAAGAGCGTGTCATTAAACAGCAGGATGAACACATTGGCGGCGAAGGCGGATTCCTGATTGAGGATGACCATGGCGGAGATGGTTTCTTAATCGAAGAAGACGGAGCCCATGCATCGATTGGGTTGGGTAGCGACGGTCTCTTGCCCACGGACGACCAAAATACCCCGAACGTCCCAGCAACGCCGGTCTTTCAGCCTGATGCGGCAGCTCAAGTGGATACTCACATGACTGAGGTCACTTTGGAATCCATAGACTCAAATGTTAGTTGTGAGCTGCAGATGTATGCCCCTGAAACATCTACAACAATGGTGGAACAGCAGGCCAGCGCCGAGAAGGATGGGCAGCCTCCTCGCGAGGATGATGAGAGTGACAGAGGCTCCCTACTATCCCGCGACCCTGACGATGAAGATGCTGAGCCGGACTGGTTGGAAAGTGATTGAAGCAGCGCCGAGGCCCACCATTATTTCAAAAGATCGACGTTGTCATGTGAAAGCATTTTGAGGTTTCAGACAGCATTTGCCACGGCGACTTCACTTTGACCAGCTCAAGTCTCCGCGTCCTGGGAGACGCTTGAGTTTGACCTCTTATTACAACGATATTCTGGAGGGCTTCAATAGCAAAAAATATACAAATGAGGACAATAACTGGCCCGTCTTTCAGACTAGTTCCATTCTCCGGTCTCACACGCACTCTGGGCGGAGACGATCTCACCGCGACTAATAAGAGTGAGAGCAGTTGATCGGCTTTTTCCTGATAGTACTTCTTGCGCTGCATGACCATTTGAGTGGTCTATCTCTTGCCGTAGCAACACTCATCGATTGACACCAACTTCTGCTTCACATCCAACTCCAACACGAATCATCAACGACGCCACCGTCAACCAACAGCATCTACTCCAGCCAGCATCCAAGGATGTCGCCGCCGTCAATCGACATGCCGTCTGCCTCCGACGCAATGCCACATCTCTTCCGCGTCTGGAGCGACTCGTCGAACGGCATCAACAGCCGCACCACTTTTGCGCCCCAGGCAGCAAAGACGGTTTCTACGAGATACGTACCTCCAATCTTCTCACCGGAAATGGGGAAGCAGCTCAAGGTTGCTGTATCGGGGAAGCACACCACAGACCATGAGCCCAACCCAGTAAGTCCTCGCTATCGATGTTGAGCCACTCAATTGATGACCCACCGCTTACTTGTATCCTTTGACTGTAGTTCGTCTTCGTCACGACGTCGCTTCTGCTAGCCCTGCAGCTCGCTCATTACCGCGAAAGTCGCTCAGAACGCAACATCCACATCACCTGCTTCCACGCAGGTCAAGTTCGGACCCCATCCGGAGCTCGAGTACGATTCAGATGCGTGGGTGAGTTGCTACAAGCAGGAAAGGTCGCACAGCTCGATAGAAATAAGGAACCTCGATTGTTCCCGGCCGAGTATGCAACGCTGGGCTGCATTGTGACAGGCGATAGCGCTAGGACCGCGTCTCTGCAGGAGTTGAAGGACGGTGGATTGTACAAACTCTATCCGACTATCAAGATGGCCAACGATATCAGGGGAAGTGGCTCCAGGGTGAACATGGAGCTGGACTTGATCCGAGGCATGTACTTTCTTGAAACCTCTGCAATTCGTCCATGCGGTACATCGGGGATCAACCTGGCTGCAAGGCTTGCGGCTATGTTCAAGGCGAATGGTGGCGTCGGCGAGAAGGTCGCGGAACATCTTTTGGCATGGTTCCTTTCACTCCAGAAGAGAGATGATGGCGACAAAGCAGTTATCTTGCAGTGGCTCGAGAAGAACTCCTTCCCGAGGACAAACATTCTGGAGCACGACCMAAGCTTCAAGTTCGTCATCGATATGACCACTATGCCCGAAGTTTTGCAGTTCCACGAGATCTGGCCAATATGTCGCAACCGAACGATCAGCGATCGGGTACTACTAGCGCCTGCCGAGATTCCAGTGAAGCACAACCTGGAGGAGGAGACGGAGTGGCTGGCTTTCGAGGACATGTCACGCAAGAGACACAAGGAGATGCGAAGAGCAAGCGAGGATACTCTTAGAGGTGGCCGCCGTAGCAGAGGACGGAGAGATTACGACAAAGACGGAAGAGGCGACGACAGGGATGACAGAGTCGCAAAAAGTCGAGTGGGGCGTCGCGACAATCGCAGAGGACCGCGCCGTCCACGTCGATGAAATAAGTTTCGACGGAGAAAGAGCGAGTCAAGCAACAAAGTGAGACTTCTCGGACAGCGAGATGACCATCAGATCTCTCCAGCAAATACCACCGAGCATTGGTGGCCCATAACAAAAAGGCCAAAGCATCTGGAAAATGGTTCATGCCTTCGGCGGGATAACTAGACGATGAGTCGTTGTCAAGCGCGTGCGGCACGAGTAATCGGACAGAATAGCCGGGCGATTGATCGGCTCCGAGGCCAGAGCAGCACAGGACTTGGCTAAGTGGTAGTAGCACAATTATGTAGTTTGCATTTCATGTCTTTCACTGCCATCAAAACCCCTGAACACCATCGCCCACTTCGCGATGACCTCATGTCGGCGGAATTGAATACTTTACCTGAGGACGAACCTCGCTGGAGCAAAGCGATCCTCGACCGGGCYCGAACTCAGTAGAGGTAGTGTGCTGGTGATAGGTTTCGTGGTGTCGAATGCAGTTGTACCAATACATCGAAGCCTGAGGTGAAGCCCAAGCCGTTGCAGAGCCTCGTGATAGTTCCCTTGTACTCTCCCACTCCTTTCGATGACTCGTTTCAGGCCTCCCTTAAGTCATAGCATATTCGGCTGAAGAGTTGGAGGAAAGTTGGAGCGTCAAAGATGCACACCAGCATCACCATCATCACCCGCGCCTTCATCCGCCGCTCTCACCACCCCATTCATGTTCACCTCATTCTCCGCACCCTTATCCCAGAACTCGCCGGTCCATCTTAGACCTCGACCCTCGACCTCGGTCTTGCAAAGATTCACCCTCTCCCGTATCCGCCGTATGACAACCTCATTCTCTGTAACGGCTTCCCGGCAGACTTCATCGTCGGCGAATTCTTGCATCTGGGCGTTTGAGTCGCGTAAATGTTGCATTTGGTTGAGGAGCTCTGCAGCTTTGGTGTATAGTGCATCAACTGGCAGGTCGTGGATGGCTGCTGCAAAGGCGGCTGGGCTGATCGGTGCCGAAGAGGATGACATGGTGTCCCAAGGTAGTACGTTGTCGGTTTGTGAGGGTTCTGCTGCACTAGGTGTTCCTGTCGATGGATTACCTGAGGCTGGGATGAGTTCTAGCCAGGGAGGTAAAGGACGTGGCCCGGGCATTTTTAATGGTTTGTTGATGGAGGGAGATGGAAGTGAGAAGCGGAGGACGGATACTTGCTTTGAATGTGAACAGCAGCACACCTAGCTCGAATGGAAGTCTGTCGACGTGCGTGAAGAAGATGTTGTACGCACAACCAAATCGAACGTGTAGTCTGTTGCGTGGAGAGGACTACTTAAACGCATACCGGTTCAATTAGGTAGCACTTCATACCACCGAGAGAGGCCGCCACGGATCAATGAATCTCCGTAGTCAATAGGCACAACAGGCATTGAGATAAGCAGGCCACCACGCTTCAATCATCTCACGACTATGCCGATGAGATTCGGATAAATTGTTGCAATGATCATCGTCGCATGGTGGGACGAGATGGCGTCCTTTGACATGTGCTCCTGCTCTCACGCCGCTAGTTCCAGCGATTCCGGAGGAGCAGCCAAACTTGGCGAGGAGTAAGGTAACAGCGACACCTCTGTCCACCTCCACATTGCAATACTCGCGCCGGGAAGGATCGCTGCATGGCTGGCGCAGCGTGGACGAGAGCATCACTGCCCGACAAGTGACGCGATCATGGTCGGCTCCGAGCAGCAACAACAGCAGCACCAGGAAGCTTACCCGTCGCCCTCGGCTGCCCCCAATAATTTGCCCTTCTACGCCCACCTGCAGCAGCACGGTCTCGAGCCACAAGGTCAGAACGAACCAAGGCACTCGCGGTCTCCCGAAATAGACGACGACGAGGACGACACACACAACGAAGATACCGACGTGGGCACGCAGCTCCACAATGCCCTCGGAAGCTTTGGCAACTTTGGTGCAGCGCCGGGCCAGCAGACCTTCCACTCTGCATATGCATCTTCCTCTGGTATCCCGCACGGCTCAGTCGCATATGCGCAAGCCAATGGCTCGGAGAATGCGGGTCCGCCCATGCCCGATAAGAGCAAGCCTAGGACGAAAGTCAGCCGCGCCTGTGACGAGTGTCGGCGTAAGAAGATACGCTGCGATGCGGTAGACGAGGTTCCTACCATGCCCTGCAACAATTGTGCACGTACTGCGGCGAAATGTACCTTTAGTAGACAGCCGCTGAAGAGAGGCCCGAGCAAAGGCTACATCAAAGAGCTGGCCGAGCGTCTCAATTCTCTGGAACAGCAAGTCCACCCTCCACATTTGGAACAGCAGCATCGCTATGAGATTCAGCAGGTGCAGCAGGCAATGGCGGAAGGTCTGCAAGCGTACGGACACGACCCGCGCATTCTTCATGACCCGCGAGCTGGCGACAAGCGGACGCACGACATGGTGGAAGGTCAGCTCACCGGACAGCAGCCCATATTCCAACACATCAGCAGCAACAGTAACCAGCCACTTCCACCACCCTCACAACAGCAGTATCAGACTCAGATCCAACCTATGCAGCGTTCGCAGCATGTGCATCCTACTGTTCAGCCATTTTGGCGTCAGGGCGGCAATGAGCAGCGTCAGGATCCTGCAATTGGTCTCGCCTTTGAACCCGAGCCTAGCGCTGCGAGCACGACCATTACAAACTTCGACTGGGATGAAAGTGTGATTGACGAGTACTACCGMATAATTCATCAGACTTTCCCTCTTCTTGCCAGTAATAAGAATCGCCTGCGACAGCGACTTGCGGAATGCCCGGCCTCGTTGCGGGAAGCACATCTTGCAGCCCTCGATTGCTTGATGCGAACATTCCCGACTTCGACCCTTGCGCCGAATGCTGGATATCCACAAGCATTGAAGCGTACTGCTGAGCTGCTGGCCAAATACCCGTTCGACAACCCGAGTACACACACCAACGCTACGAACCTGGTGTATCTACAAACATTGCTGTTGATGGCCTTGGAGAGCGACAATCACGGACCAGCTACGATAAGAGGCCAAGCTGGCCCTAGCCGGGCAGAATGGCTGGGTCGTGCAGCAGGTGTGGCCGGACAGCTGGAGATTAATACAATTCGGACTACCAGCAACTCCGTGATGGAAGGAGATCGAGACTCTGAGGAGAGACTGGCGCGGAGAGTGTGGTGGGTATTGTTCATTCTCGATCGATGGCACGCAAGCTCCACAGCGGATCTGCTGAAACTGCCCGAGAATAGTGTCGTTCTTCTCCCTGAGGATCAGATTTTACTTGGCGAGTCGACCTATCACTTGGCGAGACTGTCGTTCATCATAGGACATCTGGCGGCTATTCTCACGACAACCAAGACGCCCAGCACAGATGTCATGGCCCCGAGCAACCCTGCGTCCTCTCTGCTTGGCTTGACATTGGCTGGCGAGATCGATCGTTTCAGGGAGAGCGTAGAGTCGGTTTGGGGTTCCCTTAATTTGGTACACCTCTCATACCACCACTGCCATCTTCTGATCAAGCGCCTCAATCCCACCACGGAGCCTTCGGAGCTCGTTGGGCATGCCGTCAAGGTTGCCACTGTGTTGAATTCTAGAAGAACACCAGTGACGCCGCTGAACCATCACTTCGGTGCATTGGCGGCCATGACGCTTTGTGAACTTTGCGATGTGCCGAAGACACGGCCGGAAGCCATGAAAGGGTTGCAGCAAATGGCGGAAAGTCTTGACGAGGGGAGAGGCTTGGCAGGAAAGTCCGGAAGTGAAGGATGGGATGGAGCTGTTAGAGAGTTGGTGGGGAAGAAGCGAGCAAAAGTCATGGCGGAGATCGCCGATGGAGCAGGCGCAAGTGGTGATGAGAATGGGAACTTTGATCCGACGATGTTGACGAGGTATGGCTACCTGACGAGTCTCGGGCAAGGGTTGTTCTTGAGGAATACGTGAGCTGGGCCCGACGTGAATGTGAGAGCATGTCTTCGCGGCACGCCTTGGAAGTCAGCACGAGAAGCGTTTAAGGCCGGTGAGCTCGCATTACATGACGAGGTCACTTCGCTTAGAGCTGGCGCTGCCTGCACCTCGACTGCGCGGGAATCATAAAGATCAGCTGCGGGTTTTGTAGCGCCTTCGACCACATTGCTGATAGTACGCTGGCGAGAGGAAGAACTAGATGTCAGGGATGTCAGAACCTGGGGAAGCGAAAAGATAAATCGATGATACGAAGTCCATGTGTAAACGCCGGGAGATCTCGTTCAATCGTGCATCTATTTTATTTCCATGCCAGCCACATCTTTCATTTCGACCTATCCGTACCTTAAGCATCCCTATAAGCCGTCCCCAAAGCCGTGAGCTTTCCATCGTCTCCAATCATCGCAGCCCACTTCCCCACCGTTCCCGGATCCCTCATAGGACCAAACCAAGCATACCTCTCCACCCAATCGAGCGTATCAAGATACYTACAACTCTCCTTTGCAAAGTTCTCAACATGATCCTTGGGCAGGGGAGCATCTTTATTCCAGTTCGTAGCTGCAAACTCCGTGATCCACACAGGTTTATTGGCGTCTAGTTGATGATGTCTGTACCCCGTCAGCATTCACGCATACACGAAGAGCACGAGAGCAAAGGGCAGGAGAACATACGTGCTCCAAATATAGTCATAGAACCCTCCCAAATCAACCCCATACCAATGCAAACACAAGAAATCCACATCCCCTCCTTTCTCTCTGATCCTCTTCAAAAACTCCTGCAACCAACCCACCGCGTGGCCCGCGTTGGAAATCCCGGGACTTCCACATCTAACCCCAGCTTTCCGAAGCGGTTCCACGGCTCGCAACCATTCATTCGCCGCAACCTCGACGGAAATGTTGGATTGATCGGGAAGTTCGGGTTCATTGAAACCTAGGACATGTTTGGCACCGCACTCCTGAGCTTTGGAGAGGAGGTCGTCGATTTTGTCGGTGTTCCATGACATGGGGACCCATTCTAGAGAGGCCGAGTCTGGGGAGGGGTTGGGCGACCAGTTGTAGATCCAGGAAATTTTGGAAGGGGGTTTGGTGAAGGGGAAGATTGGGTCGTTGTTGTTGTTGCCTTCGAGAGGCCAGCAGAGACCGCGCTTGTTTGATGATGGTGATGAAGATGAAGACATGGGTTGTTGATTTTGTCGGACATCACCCGGAGGATGTCTGATGGCGTCCACTTTGTTTTTAAGGCTGGCGAATGCTTTCATGGTGAACTTGAGTGATGGTCTTTGATTCCGTCTCGGGAGCGAAGTGATGTTATTGCGAGCTCCAAGATCATGAGCTCTTGCCAAGTCATTACGCACGCCAACGTGGAGCTTGCTGCAAAACAGCGGCAGAACAGGTATTCCACCATGCATCGGGCCTCGCAGCAGCTGCACAATTTACACTTTCACATACGCTTAAGGGGAAAGCGATAAGGATTTGAGTTTCATATGTCATTCATTTCCTTCATCTATGTACAGTATCACCTACCCAAACAATYACGAGGCAACGCACGCCTGCCATCAAAATGCTGCATCGCTGAAGAGGTAATCGCTCGCTGGCACTCATCTCTGTTGCACATCCCCATACCCATGCTCATGCTGGAAGGACGCCATGACTCTAGTTGTAGGACCAGCYGAATTCGTCAGCCGGGAAGTTCTGGCTGAGACTGTACGGGCTTGGAAAGTCGTCATTGGGGACGCTCATTGAACCATCATTCCAACCTTGAGGAGCAAAGCCGGACGTTGTCATATCCATATTTGCAGAGGTAGGTATCATATTGGGAACCCCTCCGATACCCTTTCCAGATTGCATGGCGGTCGGGCTATTTCCTATGCCGAATGGAGCATTGCTGATGTCTATGTCTGGAAACAATTGTCGGATGAGATCGTCGTTCGGAGCACTGGCAGGACCGACGGACTGAGATTGAGGCCGGCCCGGATTTGATGTGGCCATTGTGGTGCGCTGCGCCATATTCGTCATCGTCGGCATTGTGGGAGATTGCCAGACATCATAGACGCCCAAAGGTTGGTCGTTGCGTGACTTTCCACTGTCGGAACCCCGAACGCTTCCAATCGGCGTCTGGAAGTCGTTGGGTGCTGTGGGCAGGCTAAAGTCGGCGTTTCCAAAGAACCCCGGTGGCAAGCTATGGCGATTACTGGCATATGTCTCTGCTGAGGTGCTATCCATGTCGAGGCCCTCTTGGATACTGGGCATGGGGAAATTGTACAAGTCATCCATGGTAGGTATCTCGTCAACCTCAGACTGTGTGCCGGACGAAGCAGCAGTCAACGCGGGTTGGGCAGCACCGCTGGCGTCGAATGTAGTAGGCCACGCGCTGAATGGGTTGTTGTTGGGCAGATGACTTGACTCTGATGAAGGGTAGACAGACCAGGGATCATAATGGCTATCGGCGAGTCCGGACATTGGGTCGAAAGGAGGAAACACCATAGAGTCGCTCGCTGTCGTTTCGATGCTGCTATTGCTTTGCACTGGGGCAAGATTGTTAAAGTCCATTGAGGACAGTCTTGGATTTGTCAACCCGTGAGATCCACTGGGGGATGGCTGCGTGGATGGGGTTCGGCTCTCATTGGGGAGTGATGGGACTCCACTGTTGAAGTTGAAATTGCAAGGGTTGTACGCCGAGTTGTCTTTCAGTGCAAGGCTGTCCACGGAGCGTCGGGCTGCGGTCGCCGTGCCGTGCTCGGATCTGGGTACCGGCATCTTGTATGGCATGCCGCATTCCTGAGCAGCATGGTTCTTCCGATGTACAGGTTTATGGTGCCCATTCGCGAAGACGGTAATTGATCCGTCAGATCTAGTGGTGTCAAGTCGCGGCTTGGGGACGGCGGGACCGTGGGGCGTGCAGTCGTCACTTGAATCCTGTTCTTTCTTTAAGAAGGAACAGGTGCACTTCCCACCATGATGGCAACAGCAGCCTTGTTCTTCGGCAACGGCAGCGAGGTGGACAGGGTCCTTCTCGTCATGAGACTCTTCGCGATAGCCTGCTTTAGCTCGCTCTTCGGCTTCTCGCAGATGAATGCATTTTTCCTTGGGATGATGTGGCTTTTCTACCTCACCACAGTCGCACTTTACATGGGCTGAGCGTTTCTTACGTTCAAGACGACAATGTTGGCACTGGGTGACAGGTCTGCCTTTCTTGGGGACCAGCGTCAACTCACGGTCTGGGCAACGGTCAGCGGAAAGTCTATGTGCACGAGCCAATTTGCGGCGCAGCGGGCGGGGTGGTGAGGTGAGGTGAGACGACGTGAGGTGATGTGTGAGATTGGTGTTGCAACTTACCGGTGTGCGTGCAGCCACTCACGCGGTGGCCCTTCAGACATGACTGGCATGCCCATTTGGTGCCGTCTTCCTTGATAACCATGCCGGACGAGCGATGGGCGTTGTGCGCGATTTACGCCCGCAGTGCGTGAATTTGTCGAGTTGCGCAGCTTTGCGCCCGGGCGGCGACAGGGGATTGTTGATGGTGAGATTTTTAGTTGGTAGATCAAGGATATAATGCTAGACAAAGGGACCACTGCGTGGTCGGAGGGAAAATAATGCTCGCTGGGTATCTTTTTCAGTCGTCCATCCGGAAGGCCTTGTTGGTGCTGTGCCCTTTGGACGTGGCCTCGATGTTGATGATGTCGGCCTCGCAGGGCGAGCGTGGAAAGCGTAAAGGCCTGACACACACTACCAGATGGCAGAGTGGCCGTAAGGTGGCCGAGGCGAGTGAGATATGGACAACCAAAACTGAACACGTCCACCTCTCGTTGCTGAAGACGGATGAGTGAGAATGAGAAAGCGCAGCGCTCGCGCGGATTTGGAGGGGAGCGGTCGGTCGGCGCGGCCGTACCCGCAGGCAGGAAATCCGTCAAGTTAGCCCAGGATCCACCCCACCAACCTCGAAGCGCTGAGAGGCACACAAAAGCGATGGACCAGAACTTAATAATGCAACTGGGATGCACGCCTTGCCCACGCGCCTACGAGCCTACCGTGCTGGAGAGGAGCTGATTCGATCCTTTGACCGCGGCGGCGTCTGTACTGCCGCCGTCGTCCATTTCTTTGATCACTGTTTGCGGTACCAGTGAAGGAGCGGACGGACCATTCAGCACCCCCAATTTTCTTTGCAGCATCGGCTCAACGAGTGCGAGTGCGAGCGCGGGAGAGAAGATGCCCGTGGGATGCACTGCACTCCGCCACACACCAAGCCTGGCTAAGCTTTGCCAATACTTCAGCTATGCCTAAACAGGCTCCAACTCGGACTAGCTTCCAGGGACCCGCATGCAATCCACGATGCGTACCGGYACTTTGAGAACCCTGGATGAACACGACGTAAAATATTGCTTGGGCGCGACGGGTGGTCGCTGAAGAGCTCCACCAGAAAATGTGCATGTATGTGTTGGGTGGTTGACACAAGAGCTTCGTACTGTACGAAGCCGCTGTCTCCAAATTGGTCTTTCACCAGCACTAGGGGCCGAAGCGGTTGGGTTGCTAGGAGTGTGGAGGTAGGCCACCGAGCAGACCCAGGCCTCATCGAGATTCCAGCGGTTCCTTCGCGCTGCGATTTTTGAACAACGATTGCGTAGTCTTCGGCGTGAACCCAAAACATGTGCCGAAATTGCCTTGAAGGTTCGAGGACGATGCGAATTTCGCGACCAACGTTGCCGATCCGGCGCCGCGGCTACCAGCAAGCCAACGACAGCGAACGATCGTGCCAGAGACATGATGATGTGACGATCTTTCTTGTTTCAGCAATCAAATACGTTCAATAAGGTGGCGGGAGATCAACAAGGCTCTGTTAATCATTCTTTCCCGGACCATCGTGTAATAAAGACGGCCCCCACGACTGTCGCAGCGAAGACGGCACACCCGAGCGGATTGCAAACAGCTACATACATACCTACAGGCTACAAGTACTTCGTAGAGGCACACGGCAAACTACTGTCAGCCCTCAGCAGTGGCAGGCGGCGAGCACGTCAAGTCATTGACGACGTCCACGTGTCTCGAGACCAGGCCATGACTGATCACGCAAGCAATCGCTGGATGTCCGCGATCCTTCCAGCCTTGGGCGCAGATCTCTTGTTGGCCTTCTCCGAGAAAGCCATCATCATGAGTTTGCGCTTGTCAGCCTGGATGTCGAGCGTTCTCTCCTCAATCGAACCGTTCATGACTAGTCTGAACACTTTTGTTTCCTTCTTCTGACCGAGACGGTGAACTCGGTCCACGGCCTGGTCCTCAATGGCCGGTGCTGGGCTGGATGTTAGCTATAGTTCTACCCCTCCGTGGCACACAGTGCACGCGTCGCGAGGGAAGGCACTCACCCCACCAAGTATCGCAAAGGATCACGTTATTCGCGGCGGTAAGGTTCAGTCCCACAGAACAAGCACCTAGAGAGGCAAGCATGATCGTGGTCTCCGGGTCGCTGTTCAAAGCGGCAATCGCTTCGTCGCGCTTTGTTGCGGTCATCGTGCCATCCAAGCGACAGAACTTGAAGCCACTGCTCTCAAGTCTCGTYCCGACGATGTCCAGAAAGCTGGTCCACTGCGAGAAAACGATGGTCTTGCTGTCTCCCTTACTGGCACCCAGGATCTTCATCAGACCCTCAAGCTTGCTACTGGACTGATTCAAGTCCACTTCGTCGTCAGCACCCTCGTCACCGCCTTCGTTCGCAGCTTCAACAAGACACGTTTGAACATCCTTCAGCGGAGCTCGGCACATGGGGCATTTCTGTTGACCTTCAATGACACGCTCGATGCCTGTAGAAGAGTTAGCGATGTGTTCGACAAGTCCGATGTGGCCAAGACCTGGGTAGCTCGGGAGAAATATTCGAACTACCCTCATGCCTTCTGCCCTGTGATTTACTTACATGCTCTACCGAAAGCATGACCACAAGCACTGTTAATCAATTAGTCAAGCATACAATGAAGGATGAAGTGTACTTACGTTATCACAGGCTGGTGCAGTACTTCGAGACAGACCGCGCACTCCTCACTGCTTTCGATCTGAACTTGCAGGATGGTCTGCAACGCTTTGACATTGGAGTCCGTCAAGGCGACTGTCTTCTGATCGCCGAGTTGCGCCAATAGCTTACTGACGCGGTCCTTGCAAAGTCCCCAATGGTTGCAGCACTGTCTCATACCTGAAGAAGGATTGTCATTAGTAAGTTGCGCAGCCACCAAATCGTAAGATCTTACGCAAGAGAATCTCCAGGACGTGATTGTAGGTTCCAAGGGTCTTGTTGCCACCATCCGACAGATGCTTGTAGTCCTTGAGAAGTCCTTGAGCCTCAACATTCAATGCCTCGTATCGCTTCTGCTCGTTCTCCGTGAAATCGATGCGATGCACGAATTCTTCCAGTTTCGGCAGTCGAAGGTCTACAAACGCCATATCCTTCCGCCTCCGCAGAGTGAAGGCTCGCATGGTTGCTTGTAAGAGCAGACGGGCGCTTTCGCTGCCGTTGGTCAAAGGTCGCACAAGAACAGAGTTGAAGACTTCCAATTGATTCAGTCCGCCCGTGATGCCGACGAACTTCAGAAGCGAGTACAAATCCCGCAAGGAATTCACAATTGGGGTGCCTGTCAGCACCCATCGCGAGCGAGACCTGAGTGCGTAGACTGCTGCAGCGCCCTTCGTCTGAGGGTTGCGGACGCAATGGCCCTCGTCTAAGATCAAACGTCTCCAGTTCATACTGTAGAGGCCTGTCGCGCGCAGTTTACGCTCAGGCTGCTTTGCGTTCTTCCCTCCGGGCATGTAAATGCTAGCAAGAGTCTGGTAGCTGGTTAATACAATGTCGTATTTTTTGAAGTCGTCAGCCCCCATGTTGCTCGCTTTGTTGGCTCCGTGGTAGGTAAAGACCTTCAGCATGCTGTTCTCGTTGACATGGGCCTCCACTTGCGTCGTCCAATTTGACATGACGCTGACCGGTGCTACAATCAGCGTTGTGCCACGTCCGAATTTCTCGGCGTCAGCGACAATCAGTGATATCATCTCAAGTGTTTTACCCAGGCCCATATCGTCGGCAAGTATACCACCAGAGGCAAGCACAGGCTCCCTAGTGGAGTAGTTGGAGGCGAGGTTTGTATAACCATCTCGCGACTTTGTCCACAACTGGACAGAATCACTCGGACCACCTAGGCCTGGAAGTTGGGGGCTTTCTTGGGATAGAAGCCAGCTCAGAGCCTGAAGCTGGTACGGGAGCATGTCTGTTTTTATTGAATTTGGTTTGCTGGCCATGGGCATACTGGCAAGATCGTCTTCATTCATCCCCATCTGCTCCAAGTCTACTCTGAAGTCGCGAGGCGAGATGCGCTGAGACGCCTCTAGGATATCAGCCATGACAGCTTCGCCGTTCCCGTCCGGGGTGTGCTGATTGGCATATTGGCCTTGAGAAGCTGGAATCGATCCTCCCTTACCGCCGGCGGCAGCCCGGCGAGCTTCTGCGAGACGCTTCTTTTCTTCAGCAGCACGCTTCTTCGCAGCGTCCTGACGTTCCTTCTCACGTTTCTTCGCTTCCTTTTCAGCGGCAGTGAGCGCAGTAATTGGAAGTTTGTCATTTCTCATCCGCTCCCTGAGTTGCTGGCCTTCGTGGGTGTCTGGGTTTGGTCCAAAGAGGTTCAACGTGACAGGGCAATCAAATGCACCCTTTTCACCAGCTAGCTGGCCTTCGATACGGAGCCATCGATTGTCAATGTACCTGGCCAGCTTCTCAGCAACCTTGCGCGGGATGTGTCCGATCTGGATACCAGCAACGTTGTCTATCCGGATGGCATTGGAGTCGTAAGGGTTTCCCGGCTCACGGCGAATTAGGATGTGTTCTCCGGCATTGGCCACTCCGCGGTAATACTGAATGCCAACAATCTTGCTGGCCAGCTCTCCATACAAACGCAACTCCTCACTCCCATGTGCACCATCTTGAGTAGAACCAACGATCTCGTTCATATCATCGACATCATCAGCAGCAAGCCAGTCTGAGCGTTCGGCAGCAGGATGCGTAGAGCCACCGCCTATGCTGCGATAGCCACCGAAAGGAATGTTACTGCTGCGATATGCTCTCTGGGGGGGTGCGGCTTCTTCCTGGTCGCTATCGCCAGTCAGATCGACTTCGACGCGCTTACGCTTCTGTGACATTGTTGAGTGTTGATGTTTTCAATCAGCGACCATGTGCTGCGTGTTGAAAGAAGGGAACCGTGGGAGCGGAGAGACATGTCGTGACAGTCGCTTGATGTCTTGCAGGGATGCGCGTCGAGGTGCAGGTTCGCGCTTGCACACGAATGCACGGGATTTGAATTAGGCGGGGCACAAGTGAAAGTGCGAAAGAATACACCCATAGATATTATTATCCGCTTTTATCATTAGGTATATCATTGAATAGCAGACGGACGGGCCACGGCGAATCTAACATCTTTCACATAGGGGTATTCGCAATGCTACGCTATGCCACCAAAACAGACAACGTTGCCCTCTCACAAGAGAGTTCGCCCGTCCACGTACCACGTACCGTCATCACTTCAATCATAAATCCATCAATCAATACACGCATCCCATAATCTCACAACCTCCCATCTCCAACCTTCCCAACCTCTCTCCTCTGATAAAACAACAAATAAGCCTGATCATTATCCAAAGCCTGCGACGAACTCAGCCTCTCAGGATGAAAGTCCGAACTCTGAGTATCATTGAAGAATCTCCAGACGCCTCTGGCTCGATCCTTCACTGCAGAAGTGTAATGGCCACTTCTTGTCGTGCTGCCTTGATGCCGCACGACCGCATACGCGTCATAGATGAACGGTCCTCTCATGCCTGGGTCAAGCCCATCAAGAGCAGTATTTCCATATGTCGCCCGGATGGATTTCTCTTCTTCCACAGAAGGAGCCGGCAGCACGAATTCTCCCATGTCCAGTCCTTCCAAGGGAAACCGTACCGCAGTATGGAGCTTCCGTCCGTCGCTAGTATTGAACCGTTTGAACGCAATGACAAGGCAATGTGGTGCGCGAGTTATGGTAAATTTCTTGTTGGCAAGACGAGGCACTTTGCATTTCGGGCAGCGCCACATGCTGTTTTCGTCGAGCGACTCATCTTTAAAGTGGTGTCTGAGGCAGGACTGGAGCTGAGCTTCCTTGGCGTCGGGAATCTCAAGCTGGWGCGTTGACCAAGGATCGTATGTGGTATTCGTCACATTGCAATGCCGGCAACGCATCCGAGAACTTTGCTGTCCGTAGAAGAGAGAGGTGATGAAGGAGTTCTCTCGATGAGTGTAACGGTCCCATTCCGTTTTGGCGACGAATTGTCGAGGCCGGCGTTCACGTTCAGCTTCTTCCTTCTCGGTGAGATGGCGGAGCGGCGACCCTTTCCAGTGCTCATTGAGGTCCTCGTGTAAGCAGTCTACAACAAATGAAAAGAACTCCTGGGTGTCTTGCTGCTGCGACGGATCACGGAACATGTTGTTCAGGCGGCCGCAGAAATTGAAGAAGGTACTTGGCTTGATGAAATCAACGTTGTCTTTCCACAATTCTCTGATCACATTGCTGTACACCTCTGGAAGTACGCCACGGGAGMCTTTCCAGTTATCTTGCACGAGTTTCTTGAAGCCATCATTGAGGAACAGAACGGTAAGCGGAGTGGTCGCTGAGAGCGCCTGGAGAKTCGCATTCATGTAGCATGTGCTACCAAAGTTCTTTAGCCCAGTCTTGGGTATCCGCAAATTCTCGGTAAGATATCGTGGAGAGATATATGGCACCAAATTACTGGATGTTCGAGGTGGTGGCGTGTTTTGAGAGACTGCACGATCGCTGACGCCTGCGTAACCCATACGGGGAGCTGCGGGGGCAGGACGGGCAGGTACTTGTGGGGGCACTGATGGAGTGGGTCGCGAGGGATATTGTGGGATGTTGGACGATGATTCCTGAGTAGGACGGTTGCCTGATCCATTGCTCGAAGCATAAGGCTCGTTCCCAATCGTTGCGGCCTCGGCGAACCGCGCGTTGAAATCCTCGATACTAGGGAAATGGTCTTCCACATCATCCTGCTCCTCGTCCTTACCGGCTCCGGCAGTAAATGCCGTAGGTGGAGCCTCTCTTACGCTTTCGCTTTTGGCACGATCACGCCATGACTTTGCTTCCTCGGGATCCAAAGGGTTGTAATCTCTGAGCCGTCGCTTGGTGACTCTCATCGCGCCATCCCGTTGAGGAGGGTGTCTTGTCAGAGGTCTTCCCTGTTTCGACCGAGCCTTGGTATCTGATGCTATCAGTGCCTGGTTTCCCAAAAGATCGACCCAGGCAGCCATTCCGCCGATGAGCATGATTGGAGGTCGCTGGAGCGGTTTGTCTTGGTTGTAGTCATAGAGCGCTTCATGCAAGCATTTCAGTTTCATCTCGCTCTCTGTGCTTGGCCTGCTCAAGTACGCATCGGACTGTGTATCGGCATCGAAATAGACAACAACATCATATTTATCCCGGTTGTAGAACATGTCTTGTTCTTCTTCAGGAGAGAGAACCAAGCCCTCGCTAACCTCCTCGGCACTCATTCCTGGTCGCATGGCCAATGGCTCGATACATATCACGCTTCGGTGGTAGATGTGGCCTTGATCGAAATCGTCTCTGGGTCGGAAGTCGATGAGCAGGATGCTATAGCGGTCCAGGTAGTCATATAGCCTTTCCGCGCCGATTCGAGTCTCAAGAGGCATATGCACGGACTTCCTTCGCCCAAGGGGAGTGGCAAGAGGAGTGGTCATTGCCGTATTGTTTGAGACTGGGGCCGAGAAATAGTCAGATCCCCCATTGGGTGCAGTGGATGATGCAGACGACCGAGGTCCCAGGGACGACTTGCGACTGTTCGAGCCCGCCAGACTTCGTGCGCTATGTCTCGGCGCGGCGATATTCCCCGTTGTCTGCATGTTACGCGCTGGGCTGTATGTCGGACTTGGCGGCTTCGGCATGGATATGGCCCAGTCTATATCGAGCGGCAGCTTTGATGGACGAGACAGACCAGTGCCGTTCTCTGGCATGCCACGAGGGCCGAGTGGCCTCGAGAAATTTGCACTCCCGCCGCCATCATCTCCATTAGGCCCCGAGAGGGGCATGCCTTGCACGGAAGACGTCGAAGCCCCTGAGCCAGGCCGCGCGGAGTCTGTCTGTCCAAAACCACGAAGCTTCGCGAAACGATCCGAAAGGGCTTCCGCGGATGGTGATGAAGAAGCGCCATTCATAGGAGTACTCACAGAGGATATGGCTCGTGCGTGCATGCTGTCGGGCTTGGGTGATATCGAAGGCTTCACCTTACGTGTTGATGGCATTAACACACTCTCAGAGCCGGTTCGCGTATGAGAAGGAGAGGAAGCGTGCTGTTGGCTCGCTCGCGGTTGGACACCCGAGCGACTGTTGTTGTTCACAATGATCTGCTTGATATTGGCGAATTGATCGCTCATACCAGCAACCTTTTGTTGTAGTAGTCGTGTCCTAAGGCCACCATACTGATCATGGAAGAAGTGGATGTAGTCCTTGTGATTGGGTATGATCTCCACTACAATTTCACACGCGCGAAGATAGTTCATAAACGCATGATCCGGGCGACGGAACTMGATGTGACCTCTGGCTTGCTGCAGAGACCTTTCGGCATGCTGGATCAGGTTGCTGATCGACTGCTGAGGGCTAACGTCGGACAGCGCATCGGCCTTGATGTCGTCGATGTGCGCGAATGCACGCTCGCCGCCGTTTCCGCCGCCGCCGCCGCCGCCTCCATTGATGCCGACACTGCCACCGGAGTCGCCGTGGGACGCGGGGCCTCGCGGAGATCCGGTAGGCGCGGAAGGGAATGCAGGAAGCGGCCCGGCTGCGCTCATGGTGGCATTCTCGAAGGGATAAAAGTGGCGGTGTTGGCGGATTGTGGGGGTCGTGAAGGTGGAGTTGCTCTTGTCACGTATGGTTGAGTCGTGACAATCTGGTATGGGCGTGACGTGAGGGTGAGAGCCGTGTGTCTTGTATCGTGTATGTGGTACGCGCGCGACGAGTACCAGGCAGGCAGGCAGCTGGATATGTCCAAGTCACGATTCTACAGGATGTGGAATWGATGATATTGATGGGGACCTAAGCTTGCTTGTGACGTGACGTATCCTCGTGTCGGGTCTTCATGTGAGCTGCCGGCTGACTAGAACATCCTCCAGCGGAGTGGATCTTTCTGTTGCATGCACTGCTGCCAGCAATCACCTCCCATCACTTCCGTCACACAGAAGACGACGACTCAGCCGAGCTGCGGGCAGCCATCACGATTAATCACGTTGGATTGCCACAGACCGCCCGACTTTATTCACCTCTCCTCCACGACCGACACCCGTCGGGCAACAGGCAACAGCTCCCTCTCCACACAAGACAGCATTGAACATGGCTTCATGGTTTGGCGGCGCGGCCAATGCCGAACTGGACGCACAAATTGAACGAGCGACTGCTTCTTCTCTCGAGGATATCGCCCTCAACCTGGAAATCAGCGATGTAATCCGCAGCAAGACGGTGCAGCCGCGGGAGGCTATGCGCAGCCTCAAACGACGCATCGGGCACAAGAACCCCAACGTACAGCTCGCTGCTCTGAGCCTGACGGACACGTGCGCGAAGAATGGAGGATCACACTTCATGGCGGAAATGGCCAGCCGCGAGTTTGTCGACAACCTGACCAGCATCCTCAAGGCACAGGGCGCTGCGGAAACCAACCCGGAGGTCAAGGGGAAGATCTTGGAGCTGTTGCAGACTTGGGCATCGGCAGCACAAGGCCGCGAGAGTCTGGGCTACCTCTCCGAGACGTATCGCACATTACAGCACGAGGGTTTCCGCTTCCCACCCCGCGTTGATGTGGCCAGCAGCATGTTTGATAGCTCCGCCCCACCCGAGTGGGCTGATAGCGATGTGTGCATGCGCTGCCGCGAAAAGTTCACCTTCACCAACCGAAAGCACCACTGTCGGAATTGCGGGAATGTCTTTTGTGGGACATGTTCGAGCAAATCACTGCCTCTCCCCCATTTGGGCATCATGCAGCCCGTGCGTGTAGACGATGGATGCTATGCCCGATTGAACGAGAAGAGCAGAGGTGCGCTGGCACAGATACCGCACAGCCCATCGGAGGGCAGGAAGACACTTTGGCAGGGCTCGAGCACTGCAGCTGCGACATCCGAGAGGATGCAGCCTAGAGGAGCTAGGGTGCCGAACGATAGCTTCGATGCGGACTTGAAGCGTGCGTTGGAAATGAGTCTGGAAGATGCCAAGGGACACTCCGGTGCGGGATACGTGCCACAGTCGCAGATTTCAACGCCAAAGCCACCTCTGGTTTCAAAGCCCCAGACGAATGGATCGAGCAAACCACACGAAGAGGAGGAGGAGGACGCGGATCTGAAAGCAGCCATCGCGGCGAGCCTTCAGGATATGGAGACACAGAAGAACCGACACGCGAGAGAGCTAAAGGAGCAGTCATCGTTGTCATATTCTGCGCCGCCGGCACAGTACCGTCCAAACAACCAGTTTGAGCTTACTCCAGTCGAGGCGGAAAACATCAATCTATTCTCCACGCTTGTGGACAGACTGCAACATCAGCCGCCCGGGACCATTCTACGAGAACCTCAGATACAGGAACTGTACGAAGGCATTGGTACATTGAGGCCCAAGCTAGCGAGAACATATGGTGAGACGATGAGCAAACACGACACTTTGCTGGACCTGCATTCGAAGCTTGCGACTGTTGTGCGATATTAYGATCAGATGTTGGAGGATCGAATGGCCAATGCTTACACATCCAGTCGATACGGTGCGCAACAACAGCGATCGAGCATGTACTCTCATGTTCCCAATGCGGACAATTCCGGAGGAATGGAAAGCTACTACAGCGGAAACGCACCACAGATGGATAGCTACGCGCCACAATCAGGTTACCCTGGCTATCCATCCGCATCGCAAGCACCCTATCCATCCCAAGAACAGGCTCGAATGTCCTCATATGGCGCACCGCCGCCAGAGGCTGCATACTACCAGTCTCAGCAGCAACCTCAGCAGATGAGCTACCCTCAAGCGCAAGCTCCATACGGACAACCGGAACAACAACATCAACAACCTCCGCTCCAACGACGCCAGTCTTCACAGCACTATCCTCATCATCCAGCAAGGAGTACTTCAAGCCAGTACGCACCCAGCCACACCTCACAGACATCCCRAACTGGTGTCGTGGCTTCACCACCACCTGTAGCAGATCCTGCCACCAACTACTATGCCAACACTACTCAAGCGGGAGTGCTGCCTCCCGCAAGCCCGGAATTGTATCATCAGCTACCGCCCCAGCAACMGCCTTATCCGCAGCAGCAACCTACAGCAGCACCTCCACCGCAACATTACTCTCAGCAGCAACCGCAGCAGTACTACAACCAGCAACCGCCTCCGCAGGCTGGAGGTGCATGGCCTCAAGTTTCTGGCGTGACGCATGCCGGTTATGGGCAGGAAAGCTTCCCCAATGCGCCAAGCCATGCTCTGCCCGTTCAGCAACCTGCGAAGGAAGAAAGCCTCATTGAGTTGTAGCAAGGAATTAAGACAGACAACGCTGATGTAGATGTAGAACAGCACCTCAAGCGAGAATGAATGAATTCATGACAAACCTTCCGTTTCTGAACACCTTTACATGAAGTGACTGACTAATACACATCAAAGTAGCGCCAAATTATTCTTCGTTAATCCTCTCATGAGCACTTGCCGTCCTCCGACTCCCAAAAGACCTTGTACCTCCGAACCCTCCTCCGTCTCCAGCATTCGGCGGACTCCTCACGTTCGGCAACTCATAACTCGGGGCCATAGGCTCATATTGCTGTGGCGTCAACTGCTGATCATATTGCTGCGGCAGACCCGGTGGTGGATAATACGGAATAGGCAGTGGAGGGGGATAGTGTTGTCGCGGAAGATCCTCAATGAATCTCTGCTGATACTGGGGAATGTATTCCATAGGCACAGGCTGCCACGAAGGAGGCGGAGGAGAATTCTGTTGAGACGTTTGGGAACTGGGGTTCTTGGGCGTGAAGACTGCCCGCTGATTGTCGTGGGGGAGATCAGGCGAAGCAAGGGGCTGCTTGCCGGTTTGGGAAGGGGAGTGTGGGGGTACGGCGAGAGCCCTTTTACGGCGGCGGAGGCAAAAGAGGGCTAGGAGGATGAGGAGAGCGAGGGCTGCTAGGCTGCCTAGGACTCCGCCTGCTATCGCTCCGACGTTGTTCTTGTTGGAGTGATTTGGTGAAGGTTTAGATATGTCGCGGGTTGCTGCTCGCGAATCCGTGGGAGCTAGTCTTCCCAGGTATGTGCGGAGGTCGTTGTTGTCGAACCCTCCTTTTGGGGTTGTTAGGGTTGCTCCTCCTGCGCCGCTGAGGAGTGTGAGCAGGGAGTTGGATTTTTTTCCGGAATAGATCAGTACTTACCTGCCACCAATGACCTTGGTGATGTTTGGTGGCACACTATAATGCGTGAGGTTCGGAACTGTCGCAATAGGTTAGCATGCATCAGTTCGTACATTGTGGGATAGACACTGACGGTATTGATACCAAGGAACCCCTAGAACGTTGTTCATGCCCAAGTTCAAATTATGCTGGCCCCAGATATCAGGAACATCACAAGCATTGTTTGTCGAATTCGGGAACCAGCCTCCCATCAGCATCATTTGGCCTTCGTTGACGATATTACAGCTCAGTGAGTGATGTCCATTTGTCGAATCGTTGAACCACTGTGCTACTTATCAGTACAACCGATTCAGGTGGATTAGGATCTCCCTACTGACCATAGTCCATGTGAAGGATGGAATTGACAGAATCCAGACATCGTTGAACCCATATCCCTCTTCGTCGTAGGGGGGTGCGCCGCCATAAATATAGCTGGACCGTATTAGCGCTGCCAGAAACCATGGGGGAATGCTGTACATGTTATACGACGATCGATCATCAGCCCAGGTGGCACCGCCACAGAATCTTCTCCTCATTGAGGGTGRGCCGCCCGATGTTCGTTGACTGAAGCTCGTTTGCGATCCTATATCAAGGAGATATACAGTCTATGGTGTARGTACTCCATCGAAACCCGAGTCGTTACTCCAGTGGACTTACATCCATAGGTACCTATCGCTGTCAGCATTGACCAAGTATCATGATGGAGAGAATCATTTGACCCACCCCAGTCGTAGTAGAAGTGTTGGTCGTATTCTGTATGCCGCCAAAGTACACCAGCATGCCCTTGTCTGAAGCCGGAATGTAGAACAGGGCACCTTCCGCACGAGGAATATTGTCTATGAAGACCGATGCTCTCCATTTGTTGCCAGTCATGTCGTAGGTCACGAGGCTTGAATGCATCATTGCGTCGCCATTGAAACCGAGCTCAGAAGCGTTGGATCTCCAACCGCCATAGTAGTATCTAGGCGAACGAATCAGTGTGTCTCTTTCCTCAATCCTGCCAGTACTGGCTTGAATCTCCACTCAGTAGGTCAACATACCCCGTGCCTCTGATATCGTCTACAGTGCTTGCTCCAAATGCAGCGGGTGAGATGCCACCCGCCGACGGGTCTGTAGGGGTAGTGTTCCATGTGTTGTATATGACATCGAAGAACCACAACGTGTACTTTGTTGGCGGCGGCGTCGTCCAGTTGTACTCTCCGCCAAAAAGATAGAACAGCTTGTTCGCTTGGTCGGCCCAGAGCGCCCCGCCTTGCCTAAATCGAAGGGCAAAAGGGTCAGCAATGTCTTACGAACTCAGGAGATAGAGGCTTCAAGACGTTCTCTCCAAGATCTTAACAAGTCACATATGCGTAGAGCTTCCCTCGCTGTCAAAGTCTCTCGCTCTCTGAATCCTTTCCCCTTCGCTGTACTTACACCGATGGCACATTCGCAGGCTTGTGCAAGTCTTTGTTCTGGACCGGAAAGCTGTTGTTATTCACAGTATTGAGGTCTTCGTAAAGGAGGTAGCTGTTGGTATAATTGGCCGTGTTGGAATCTATACTGMCGCCATAAGCGACTAGTCCGCCGTCGATATAAAGCTTTTCATCGATGACAGTCGTCTGGTGGCCAAATCGACGGCAGAAGTTGCTTAAAGGGTCAAGCAGCTGGGAAAGCGMATGCCTCACGAGGAGGGATAATATAAGATTGGCGATGTGAAGCATCTCGAAGGATAATCGGCAGGTGCATAGAGGTCCCAGAAAGAAGATAGATTGCGGCCGACGAACAGCGACGTCCGTTGTGAGAAGGATGGTCAGCGACTAGTCAGACTGAGTGATGGCAACGGATGAATGGACCGCAGTGCGTTGGATTCGACCCGACCCATGGTCACTGTCTGGTCGCACATTACCGCCGAACAGAAGGTGGCTGACAGCGTCGCAGACTTCTCTTCCATGGCGGCCTGGCCAGGCCGCGGGCGATATTTTTGCGGGTCAGACGCGAGCGTCAATATATCTGCTGCGGAGAAGCGCCACGATATCACTCGCAGGTAAGAAAAAGCAGGCATATGAACAGGTTCAGACGAATGAAGTGCCATTGAGACCTCTCACCGTCGATATTTCGCAGACGAGATTGCTTTAATTGAGCGCCGAGACGTACTTACCAAGCGACCGAGAACCAATTTATCATGGTCTTCCTTCAATGCAGACAGCTCGGTGGAGTCTAGCACAGTGACACAGTTTCGAACAATGTCGTCGGATAGCGACATCGCAGTAAGCACATTAAAATAGCAACAAGTGCATATGGAGAACAGGGATAAGTCCCGAGCACTGCAGCCCACACTCAGGCAGCCCGCGATAGCGATGGTGAACAATGCCTTTGAAAGTCGCAGCGTAGCCACCACTCGAGGAGTATGCTCTTCCCACATGAGTGTTCCAGGTGGAAGATACAACGGAGTCGGAGCATGACTAAACACATTCCTCTGCCTTCGCGAAGCCGGCCACGTTTTCGAAGTCCGGCAGGCGGAGGTATGCTGCATAACCGCATTCGGATCGTTGTCGCCCAGGAAGCAGTCTCAAGACGGTGTCCAACAATATCCTTGACAAAGAAAGTTGAGAGCAGCAATGCTGACGACAAAGCCAAATCCGGGTGCGAACAAAGCCGCGCCTTCATTTCCGCGACTACATGTAGATGTGTGAGGTCAAAGTGAAAAGTGCGAAAACACGACACTCACAACATGGCTCCAACCACACGTTCAGAGGCGCCGAAGAAAACAAATCGAAAGAAGGTCGAAGGGCCGAAGTCGACGACATCTTCTATCGCGAAGGAAGCTGCGAAAAAACCAGTAAAGAACAAGACCCGGTCGAAACATAATGATCGAGATGAGAAGTCTCTTCCGACCATCGACGATGTTCGTGCCGTTCTACGACCGGAAGGTACCACTGTAAGCGACTTGATGAAGCACTTCGAGGTCAGATCACAAGACCGTGCCGAAATGACTAGGTTACTGGCATCCGCAAACCAGGACACGGCAGCAACGACAACAGGCTCAAGATCCGTCGGAAATTCGCTTTCTTCTCCCAAAGATGGTCTGTTCAGCGCGGGGTTTCGACCTTTCTTCGACGACATCTATCAGCAGAATCCAGCAGAGGCTCAATTTGGAAGACGAGGCACGCTGTTTCCTACATCTCCAGGAAACGCGACATCTGCTGTTCAACACACCAGTCCTCGTAGATCCATCTTCGAGAGGGCGCATTCGTTGAGTGGCGCTTCTCCAAGGAGACCGGCGCCTGCTTTCGAAGACAGTCATGAAGCCAGCCCACGCCGGAGCGATTTTGGGAGAATGGCATCTGTGAGTGTAACTCCTGCCGAGAGGACCGCCTGGGAGCTCCACGACTCCAGTCAGCGTAAATCCATATTTGACGGRAAGTTGCCTTCCACGACCAATTCTCCCCGAACTCCTCGAACACCACAAAGCCCGTTCGCGCCCAACAAAAGCCAGCCAGCAAAGATCACAGTGTCAGCCGCGACCAAGCAAGACGCTGACAGCGTGCTGGCCCGACAGCAGCTTGTACGCGAGAGTCTGTTTGAGCTGCGGGACATCATAACCAACTTGAATTGGAAAGTACAGCAGTTTGAGGCATTGGTCGATAAAGCTGAGAAAGATGTGATTTGGGACACCGCCTCTTTCAATGACGAAGATCTGGTCCAGGGGGGAGTGAAAGCTGGGAAGAGACTGCGCTTTGGCCCCGAAGCTTGAACTTCTGTAGTCGACTTTCCGGGAAGTGTTATATCCGAATGGAGGACAGGCGCAGAGTGCTAGACCATACAGCCCACAGAGTCCTTACGAGCATCCTAGCGCTGATGCGATGGCAGCGAATCGATTCGCATGAGATTGTAGCAAGAGCGGACCATGAATCATCCAGAACGAATTCTGCTGCAAAGAAACGCTGTAGATCTTCGAGGCCGTACAATAAATCGTTCTCCCATGTTCTTCGCCTCAGCCAAGGTATGCCGATGTTTGCGCAAGCTTCATGTAGTTGTTGTATTTGACATCATGCACTTCATGTACACCTCGTCGTGGAACGAGAGAGCAGTCCCCAAAGATTGAGACGAGAAGTGAAGACAGGCCTTCTCTGTATTGGAAGTGAGAGGGCGAAAGTCGGAACAGGAGCAACGGCAGGCACGAAAATATGCACGGGCCCCGCGGACCAACCCGACGACATCTCCAAGCTGTCCAGGTCACAATCTTGTACAGACGCATTGCAATCCACCCTCACCATCGCCATGTTTCTCCGCCGTGCTGCCCCAGCGCTTGCTAAGCGCGCCATAATCCGCCCCGCTGCTACCCGGTCCTTTGCGCTCACCGCGCGCCGAAGTACGCTTACAATGCCTCCTCCGAGGAACGTCGCGAAGACCGACAAAGTGCACGACTAACACATGCGCAGCCTCCTCTGGCGACCCTAAAATTGGCGAGAAGACCAGCCAACTGCAGCCTCTCGATGGTGAGTGTCATATCTGGAGGAATCTCAAGCGTATCATATAAAACTGACGGGGTAACGCACAGAGATCAAGAGCATGCACGACCTTATGCCCGCCGGTGGTAAGCCCGGTACCATCCCCACCGATCTCGATCAGGCCACTGGTCTCGAGCGATTGGAAATCTTGGGAAAGATGCAGGGAATTGATGTGTTTGATATGAGGCCTTTGGATGCCTCGCGCAAGGGTAAGCATGCAGCAAGCATACAACTCTCGGCAGTCGCACGAGTCGCACGAGACTAACATTTGGCTGTCACTTGTAGGAACTCTAGATGACCCCATCACTGTCAAGTCCTTCGGTGACGAGCAGTACCTCGGCTGCACCGGTTTCCCTGTTGACACCCATAATGTCATCTGGTTGACGACATCTCGTGATCGCCCTATTGAGCGATGCCCAGAGTGCGGTAGCGTGTACAAGCTGGAGTACGTTGGACCACAGGACGATGGCCACGGACACCACGACCACGGGCATGGAGACGCAGATGGTCTACACAACTATGAGGGTGAGCCAAAGACCATGGCTGACTTCGTACGACCGGAGTACCGGTAGAGGAGAACGGAGCAGAGGGGTTGGTGGGGGGATGTAGAGCGATTTGGAGAAGCGGCATTGTAAAATACAACACAGCATATTGTGGCGCCGAATGAAAGCTTGCAGAACAGATCAAAATTCCCTTGAGTACATTGTGAGCCTGATGTCGAGAGAAGTCACGGTGATTACTATCAGAGCTGGCCTTCAGCGAGACTGGTCCCAGCGAGCTCCGTCGGGGTGCAGGTTGAGCGGCGGACCTCCCTGCAGTATAAGGTCTTGAGATGGGAATTTAGGGGGGCTACTGTTGTCGACTCTAATCACGTCCCACGTTGCAGCTTGGCTCCTGAGTGTTGCAAGAACCTCAGAGATAGGGTGCTGTCGCTCATGTCTCGAGACAGCTTCGCGATGAACGCGACAAGGAGCCTGCGAATATCTGCCAAAGGCTCTTGGTTTTCGTGGTTCACGTCACCGGGCATGCAGCTTCTCGTTAAGGTACCCGAACCTGCCCGCGCCATCATCTCAAGTGATTATCATCGCCATGGATTCGAGGTCTAAAAGCGCTAGTTCAACGCAGCATTTCTATAAACAACAATCAACGGTGCTGCATTGTCAATTTAAGCCTCGTCATCCAGTGGAGAGACTTTTACCCATGGAGTTCCACCTTTGTCAAGTTTGACGATAGGTCTTTCATGTATGAACGGGGCTGTAAATGCTGAGGCTCAAGGCGTCGTTCCAGTGGGATTGAACCTTGCTACTGGCGAATCGGCCTTGTTCGCCGCCATACCGTATCGAGAGCGGCCGTTCCATCGCCCAGGAACTGTACCTGCGACGTCTCTTTCAGGCCTTCTCGGTCCCCTCTCCGGCTGTTCATTCCTTCGCCAGGGGTTTCGATGTGTTGGTTGCTCTTGCTTTGCCAGCAGCTTCTTTACGAGCTCCCCTGTTTCACGCCTCAAATCCGCCTTAGTTGCGGTCAGAACACGGGCGGGATCCTTCACAATGCTTAACAGCACTGCACCAGTAAGCCGTTGTTGTTTTCCAGCCGGGTCCAGTGGCCTTCCATCACCTCCCAAGCCCGCTTCCGCGAGAGCCCTTGTGAAGGCTTTCTTGAATTCTCCCTTGCACGCGTTCCTTACGACAGCTTTTTTGCTGATATCAATGGGACAGTTCACCCTCCAGTAGAAGCCTTGAGGATCAAAGGCCGCAAGTCTTCGTCTAGTCTTGATGTGGAGGGGATGGCATTCATCGCTGGCAATGACCTTGGTAGCGACAAATGTCGTGCAATTGACAGGACGGAGAGGTATTCGATCGATGATTGTGTTGAACAAGGGTTTCGAGGCTTTCGAGGCCATTCTCCTCGAGGCCGGTTGAGTTGAGGCAGTCACATGCTTAATGACTTGAAGGCATGGATGCTAGCCGCCGCGTGAATGAAGCCCGATCAGCCACAGCCAATCAGCTGTCGGCCTTGGACCCTCTTTTTTGTGTGTCATCCCGTTCATCCACTTTTGCGGGCGCGGGCGGTTGTACCCCTCCAAGTCTCTTTCGTACAAAGAAGACACCGCCACACAACAACAATCTCAATCCTCCGCACAGGCAACGAAGCCGCACGACATCTACCTTTTAAATCACTCGCCGAGTCAGAAGTAAGAGAAGATGCCGAAGAACAAGGGAAAGGTACGCCGGCAGTAGCAGAGAAGAGCGACGCGAAATACGGCAGGCATCACTTGAAGGACAAACCGCTGACCATCTTTTGTGTGTATAGGGTGGTAAGAACAGGAGAAGAGGAAAGAACGAGAACGACAATGAGAAGCGTGAACTCACCTTCAAGGAGGAGGGTCAAGGTACGATATGCGCGCAGACAAGCAACCTCACCGCTCGAGGAGTCCTGCTAACCTCTCGACTCGACACAGAATATGCACAAGTCCTCAAGATGCTGGGTAACGGCCGACTGGAGGCGCTCTGCTTCGACGGCTCTAAGCGTCTCGCTCACATCCGCGGCAAACTTCGAAAGAAGGTCTGGATCAACCAGGGAGACATCATCCTACTCTCGCTCCGTGATTACCAGGACGAGAAGGGTGATGTGATTCTCAAGTACTCGGCCGATGAAGCCCGTTCGCTCAAAGCATACGGCGAACTCCCAGAAAGCGCGAAGATCAACGAGACCGATACGTATGGTGGCGAGGAGGAAGGTGGAATTGGCTTCGATTTCGGTGAAGACGATGAGAGTGGTAGCGGAGAGGACATCGACGTCGATGACATTTAAGGGAGTGTTCTATGGCTGGCGCAAAAAACGGCAATTTGCACACGCGAGTGCTACACAGAAGAGGAACTGCATGCAGGAAGTGTTCTAACGCTTTCCTCGAGCGATCCTACGTGTAGTTGTCTTGCTGGCAATAGCGAGGTCAAACGGGTAGCTTAGACGCTGTGCTACATGGCATGGCACGATTTGGTTTGAGACGGGATTATGGACATTCCCGCGCGTGCGAGAGCACTATGAAATGAACAAATGAAACCAAAAATAGAAGGCTCATGCCCTCATCATCATCTTTGCGACAGCCTCACTCTCAGTGATACGTCATTGCGTTCCCACAATCTCATTCTTCAGTAGACTCCAGCAGTGCGTGTTCTACAATATTCCGTCTGTGCGAGCGAAAAGCCAGCCACGTGCCGCTCGGGTCGGGCTGCCGAGTGAGGTCCGCTCACTGCATGACGAAGGGCTGGAAGGTTCGAGGTAGGCACCTCGTCTTGTTCAATTTACAGCTAGACATTGGTCGCGAGAGTCGCATTGCACCGTGTAACAGACCGTATGCGTGCTTATTGATGCGTCCTCGCTTGTCTTGAAGAGACCCGCCACGCCCGACGCTTGACTCCCTGCCATTGCCCATCGTCGTCAGCTGCGCGAGGCATCCATCCATTACTTCTGAAGCAGCCCAACCACTTCGCACTTCTCCCTCTCCCACACACGAGCGCCACAATGCCCTCCATCCTGACCGAAGAGGACAAACAAACGGTCAAGCGCACCGTACCCAAGGCGTCCAACAAGATCCAGGCTGTTGCAGTCGCGAAACTGTACATTGCATACCCGGACCGCACACGATGGACCTACACTGGCCTGCAGGGCGCCGCTGTGCTTGCAAACGATCTGGTCGGTAACACCTTCTGGGTCAAGCTGGTCGACGTCTCTTCCGCAAACCAAGGTGTCATATGGGACCAGGAAATCTACGAGAATTGGGCCTATAATCAAGATCGCACCTTCTTTCACACCTTTGAACTCGACGATGGACGAGGAGGCAGCTGTCTGGCAGGCTTGAGTTTTGCGGACGAGAAGGAGGCCAAGCAGTTCCGCAAGAAGATGGAGGAGCGCGAAAAGAACGCCAGCAAAGGGACCCGGGCAAAGGCGTTTGCGGTGGGCGGCGGACAGGCACAACAGCAACAGGCACCGCAGCAGAAAAGCCATGGGATATTCGGTGGACTGTTCTCGCGTGCAAGGGCAGACAGTAATCCGCAACAGCCGGCGCAAAGTATCATCCCACCACGGGGTGTAGAAATACACAGTCCCGCTCCTGGAACATCTCCCGCGGTCCCTGTTACGGCTGGAACTGCGGACATTGATCTCAACGATCCWGCTGTCAAGGCGGTACTGGCTGATCTGCTTGAGATGGGCATTACCGAGGATCAAATCCACGAACATTCGGCTTTCATCAAGAGCTATTTGGAACAGAACAAGGCCACTGCTGCGGCACAGGCTGAGAAGCAGGAGCGTGCCGCAAGAGCCCCTCCACCTCCGCCTCCACAGGCTGCTAATCTAAGTCCACAACATACAGGATCTTCAAAGGGAGGTCGTGGTCCACCACCGGCTCCGCCACCATCTAGAAGAACGGCTGCTGCCACTGCTCAACGGCCTCCAAGTCCTTCACCCAGTCCACCGAGAGAACCGTCTCCTCCTCGGCCTAGATTCCGCGTTCCTCCGCCCCTGGCCAATGCTGGAACGTTGGTCAACAGTACGCCTTCCTTACYAAATCGGCAAAGAGCAGCCAGTCAAACCAATGCTGCTCCTCCTCCTCCGCCACGACTGCCAGCCAAAGTACCAATTGATGACAATTCTTCGCCTCAACCTTCGCCGGGTCGATTTGCAGTTCCGCCTCCTTTCGAAGGGAAGAGAATCGTCTCACACCCTGGTCCGCCACCTCCCCCAAGAGGAAGCGGAGGGCCTCCACCACCTCCTCCAAGAGATTCTGGTCCCCCGCCTCCACCACCACGAACACCTCAAACACCATCCTTTGCGGACTCTGGGCCGCCCGCACCGCCCCCTCTTCCTCCTACTACACCCCGACCTGTACCACCCGCTCCAGCCGGCATGGCTGCAAACGCACCACCGGCTCCTCCACCTCTTCCTCCGACTTCGAACGTAGCACCATTGCCGCCTCCTCCTCCGCCTCCGATGCCTGCGTCAAGTCCAGGTGCACCGCCGCCACCACCTCCCCCAATGCCGCCATCTTCTGGTGGCGGACCTCCACCACCTCCTCCACCAATGCCGCCTCGGAGTGCAGTGGCTCCCTCAGGAGACATTGGCGTTGGAGACGACACAGCAGCCGCTGCGCAAAGCAATGCGACTCCTCCCCCAGGTGTGGGCGGATTGCTTGCTGACATTCGCGGTGGAGCCAGGTTGRAGAAGGTCAGCGATCAGGAGAAGCGTGATCGTAGTGCGGCTGCTGTGCCAGGTAGTGAACCAGCTGCTGGAAGTAGCGCCGCTGGTAGTGGTGGAGATGCTGCGGCTGCGGGTGGGTTGGCTGGTGCATTGGCGAGTGCGTTGGCTGTGAGGAAGAGTAAAGTTAGTCATTCTGGTGAGTATACCTTTCGTTCTTGTGGTCTGTTTCTTGGTATTTTTGCTAATACGGTGACTAGATGATGAAAAGAGCGATGATGAGTGGTGAGAGACACKCAGTTTTGGATGAAGAAAGGAAGTCGGAGCGTGGATAACAAGCAGACAGGTAGGAGGTGCCACCACCAACGACAGTATGGAAAGGTTTTGTACGCTGTAAGCATGGCTCCAAACCTGAATACACGACAAGCCATGAACTCCCTGCTCAAGCGGACGATCTGATCATTACACTGTTGTGATTCCCAAAAGACTTGCATTCTAGACATGATTCCCGAAAGTGAGCATGAACGCATGCTGCATGCGAGCATCATGACGATTTGATACAGCGTCTATTTGCATCGGAGATTACTCCTGATGGCCAAAGATCCGCCCACGCCGTGGTTCTGGCGAGGATCGATTCGCTGCTAACGCACCAGCGCTGGGATGTTCGAGAGGAGTCTGGAGGTCTAAACAATTTCCGATGCAAAGAGGTGCTATACGTTGTACTATAGCTCCCCATCTGCCGGCCAAAGCAGCTTCCTGATGCGGAACTTTAGGCGGAAAATTGGTCGAAGCCATGCATGATTCCAATCGAGATAAGCTGCACCGGCCAAGTGGATCGCATGCGCGGGCTATTCGCCTCTATCTACTATGAAGAATGGATATCTATCCAATCCCTATATTGGACTCCATGATAGGGAAATGTACAACGTCATCTCAGTTTTGACCTCAACTATGGGAGGTACATCTCTTTCTCCGATCCAGTTTCTGGAACATTTTTCTCAGTAGAACAGTTGCAATGTCTTCTTCATCGTCGAAGGAGAAAGATGTTGAAGCAGTTCCTTCTCCCACATTGCCAGAGCACGGAGAGATCAGGACTCTCTCTGCTCGAAACGCCGACGATGCTCTCGAGTTCCTTCAACATGAAGGCGCCGTTAGAGAAATGACAGCAGCTGATGAGAAGACGCTTCGAAGAAAGATCGATTGGATGATAATGCCCTTGATGTGGTCGTGTTATTGCTTGCAGTATCTGGATAAGACGCTCATCAACTATGCGAATGTTATGGTTTGTTGCGTGACAGAGGGTGATTCCTTTAATCTCACGCCCAGTGGTTAATGTTCTATCCCAGGGACTGCAAGAGGACGCCAACCTATCGAAGGGGCAATTCAGTAACCTAGCTCTCATCTTCTACGTTTCGTACCTCGCACTCGAGTTCCCTCATGGATACGGCATGCAGRAATTACCGACGGCCAAGTACCTAGGCGCAATGGTGTTCCTTTGGGGAACTATTGTGGCGGTCWCAAGTGCCTGCAAGAATTATGGAGCTTTAGTAGCTACGAGGGTACTACTTGGTGCTTTTGAAGCTGCTGTCGCTCCCAGCCTCATTCTAATCACTGGGATGTGGTACAAGCGAAACGAGCAGCCACCACGAGTCGGAATCTGGTACTTGGGAGTCGGCACTGGAACGATACTCGGTTGTTTGATCTCTTTCGGGTTTCAGCATGTGACCAGCAATAGCTTTTACAACTGGCAGGTAAGAATCTCATCAATGAGGCCATCAACTTGTTTTGATATTGACGCCTCGACTACCCACAGATCATGTTCCTCACAGTTGGGATCATCACATGTTCTGTTGGAATACTAGTCATACTGTTCCTTCCAGACAACCCCTTCAAGTCCCGTCTCACACACGAAGAGAAAGTATGGGCAGTCCAACGTCTTCGAGAGAACCAGACTGGTATCGAAAACAAAATCTTCAAATGGACCCAAGTCAAAGAGTGCTTCCTCGATCCACAAACCTTACTCCTCTGCCTCATGACAACAGCAAGCTCAGTCCCCAACGGCGCGGTCTCCAGTTTCCAAGCAACTATAATCCGTGACTTTGGCTACGACAGCAAGACTACAGCACTGCTATCCATCCCATCCGGCGGTGTCTCAATCGTCGCAGTCTTCTGCTCCACGTATTTAGCAGGCCGCTACAACCAACGTGGAATTCAAATCATAACCCTCCTCATTCCAGGCGTTCTCGGCGGAGCTCTCATGGCTTACCTACCCGAGGACGCCAAAGCTGGAAAGCTCATCGGGAATTACCTCACTCAGACCATAGGCGCTTCCTTGCCTTTACAGTACAGCTACGTGTCCGCGAACTTTGCAGGCCATACAAAAAAAGTGACGATGAACGCGCTGTTGTTGATGAGCTTCTGTTTGGGCAACATTCTTGGTCCGTTGACGTTTACGGCTGAAAGCGCACCGGAGTATGTACCTGCCAAAGCGGCTATTATTGGGACCTGTGCTGCTGCTATTGTTTTCGTGGTGCTTTTGCAGGGTTATTATGTGTGGGAGAATAAGAGACGAGCAAAGGTCGTTGCTGGAATGGGAACGGGAGCGCAGACTGACTTGGACTTTTCTGATCAGACTGATCGTCAGAATGTGTTTTTCAGGTATCAGCTTTGAGCGGCAGTTGTAACGAGTAGGAATCTGGTCGTTGCTAGAGCATTAGATTGAATTTATGTTGGTATCCAAGATGCYGAGTTCCCGTGAGCAATAATCTTGTAGATAATCGTGTCCACGCTCCATGTCGTCAGTCGTAAACTCATGAGCATATTAGTCCAAACCAAGATACACCTGTTCAATGGCCACGTCCCATGATCACCGAACCATCATCTGATACTGACTTGGCTCGATTCCGACGCAGATCATGGCAGATCTTCAGAATCTGAGCGGATAATCACAACACCTCGATCCAGCAGACCTTTCTGGCATGCCTCCGCCGACTCAGTGGCGGACTTTGTTGCATCCTCAATCACAAAAGTCTTGTATCCAAGCTCCACGGCGTCCAGCGCCGTATGTTTGACACAGAAATCGTAAGCTAGTCCGACAACATACAAGTCTGTGATGCCTGCTTCTTTCATAATTTCATCGAGATTGGTCATGGACACCGATGGCTCGCGGAAGGGTGGGCCAAAGCCAGAGTAAGATTCACATCTGATATCCATGCCTTTGTCGATGATGTGAGAAAATCTGTCTTGATGAAGCTCGGGAATGATTTCGCAGCCGGGTGTGTCTTGAACGCAGTGGTCTGGCCAGAGGRGACTTGGAATCAATCGAAATCAGTGGAAGTCATTCATTCTTGGGGAAAACGGTTGAACGTACGTGGTTTGCGTTTCACTTTCATTCTCTGGATTCTTGATCGTGTGTGTTGAAGCGAAAGCTGTCTTGTCGACATGATTTGATGCAAAGGAGATGTGATCGGGTGGATGGAAGTCTCTGGTGGCAATTCTCAGCACAAACCCCGGGCGTGCCATCAGGTCGTTGATGATGGGCGCAATTCCTCGACCGCCTTTGACTGCCAGAGAACCGTTTGGCTCGCAAAAGTCTTCTTGCATGTCGATGATCGCGAGAGCCGCTTTGCGCGTTGGAGAGGATGCCATTGTTGGTGTTTGTCGAGATGACATTGGCGATGCCAGTCTTCGGAGGATACGAATAGGTACGCAGTGAAGTTACTGCCTTCAATTTGGCTTGGAACTGATTGCCTCCAGTTTGGTTCTGTGTGTGTGGGTGGGTATTGACAGGAAGATGCAGGTGTAGCAAACGTGCAAGGGCTGGGGGATGTTCCTGGGCATCGGAATTAACTCCGGACTTGGCTTGGCAGTGATGCCTGCCTCACTGYCCCTTTTCCACAACATCACTTTCAACGAGGTCGGATTTTCAAGAGTTCTTCCCCTCCAAATTCTGTGGCTTATAGATCACCAAGGTGAAATCTGAGGGCTGGACATTTGCACCGCAAAACTTGCTGATACAAATACGAGATTCATTCAGCATTCACTTCTAATCCCCCTTTCTTCACAGGAAACATGATAATAGCGATGCAATCTGTCCTCCAAATCCGCTCTTTAATACCCACGATGACATTCGACCCAAACCAGGTTTCACACGTACTTTCACATTCCAAGCTACTAACCAAGCATTAACAAGTAGAACGATTACACACACCATCAGAGCACATAGTCCATTACACTTATCCACACATCTCAGCTCAAGTTGAGAAACTAGTCATTCCCCTTCATAAAATTGAGCCCGTCTATCAGCCGAAAAATCACGCCTAACGTGGCACCATCTCCGCAAAGCACGAGACTTTTGTACATTTTACAGAGAATCAAACAGCTTAGAAATAAATGTCTCTTGTGTATACGCAAGGCTTTCACATAGCCATTCCAGACAGTTTTGCCCAAGCTAAACTAGACCTCCCGTGCTTCCCAATCTTTCCATCGAAAAGATATGAGCTTGAGCTGTCCATAGCTGCCCACCCCTATAGAACAACAAAGAGATATCTCGAAAGCAGAAGCTCCCATACTAAATTCGATTTCCATGCGTCTAGTACTGTTTTCATGGGCATAGAGAGAGACCTCGAGTCATATTAACAAGTCATACTTGTGCTAATCAACATCACCTAAACGCTGTGAGCATCGCTTAATCTTGCCAAGCTTCCATTCTCCGAGTTGAACGTACGCTGTGTTATTTTTGGAAAGAATCACCCCTTTTGCATCATGGAAGAATGTCAACATACAGCACTCGCTACTTTATGCCCATTCCGAACGTATAGAGTGGCTACTCATAGCCAGTTCGTGAAGACTGAGATACAAAGCGAAGTCCAAATTGTGTTATTACGGCGTATCTTTCATGACGCAAGAGAGTCTACTTCACACACAGGTGAATCTCAACATACAATTTTCTCTCCCCACTCCTGACGATCACAGGGTCCAAATACCTGCAAAGTTGCTCCTCGCTGCACATAAAGTGAAGTTTCTCCACCTGGAGTGCCTGCGGCATCACCCAAACATCCATACGCCAACGCCCCTCATTCTCCTCCAGTATCCGTGACTCTCTCTCCGAAGAGCACGCGTCATACACATTACCAAGCAAGCCCTTGCACAGCGTACCAGCCGTCATACGAGAGTCTACAACTTCCAACCAATCGACCGGCATCTTGATGGTTCCAGCGTGTATTCTCTGAAGCCCGTTGACCATTCTAATGGCCAGAGATACGTTGCAATTCGGGATATCATCGACTCCGTCCTTTGCTTGATATGGGAGAAATGTAACTGGAGGTAGACGAGGTACTCCAGACTCTTCTGCTGCTCCCAATATCATCCTCGCTTGAAGAGTCTCTCCGATCTTGTCCATTCTTTCCTCATGAGTTCTGATGTCTTTATAAGGAGCGACCCACTTCCAGGGGATTTTGTCAACTTCACCTTTCGTGTGGAYATGGTCCTCAGCACGACCAATGGCAACTCCATTGATGGTTCTCTGCGGCACCAGGATTGGACGACGCTCAGTCTCGTCGTTTGGATCCTGGTTGTACGGCAGTAAAACTGAGATGGTCATTGGCTCGTGCTGCTGCTCGTCATGCTCTGTCTCCGTAGCGGTTGTCTTGCAGGTGCCATAGCGATGGTACATGATGGGTGCCTCCTGTAATTTGCCAGATCCTAGACTCGACGGGACAGCAGGGATACTTCCAACCCAGACATCAATCTCAACGATCGGCTCGCCATCTGGAGCTTCAGTACTAAGTAGGAGATCCTCGATCATCTCTAGTCGCCACCTGCCGTTGTCTCTTGCGATGTAGTCTCTTTCATCACGTACATCGCCATACACGAAAGAGGCGGTAGTGTGGATCATTTTATCTTGGCTGAGGAGATGCTGTTCGTATTCCCTGTAATTTGAGTGTCTGACATGTAGTATCCAATCACTCAAGTGGCTCATGAAGTCCGGCATGGATGTCTTGAGATTGTTTCCGGTCGACTCCCAGATGCTGTTCTTCCAAAGTTTGGTGTCTGTTTCGTCCTTGAATTTCATGCGCATGATGACTCTCGCTCCTGCTCCTGAGCGCGTTTCTGGCGGTGTCAAGTCGGTCATCCTGTATTTGTGTCTTCGAAGCCGTTCTTGAGCATACAATGGATACGTCGATGGCGCTTCTGAGGGTGTTGTTGGACGTCTTTCCTAGACAAGAGGTGTGTTTGCCTGGGGAACGAAGTTTTCTCTTCCAGCTTCGAGGCCCCTCCCGCTTTGGCCTTGCTCGCCGCTTCAGCGGAGTCTTCCGGAAGATGACGAAAAGAATAGGGGTAACAATAGCGGCGGGCGTAGACAATGAAGCAGTCTCTACTAGAGTGATCGAAATGTCTAGCAAAGGCAGTGCTCTCCTAGCGATGTGACGTTTGCTGAACAGACAGCGAGCATGGCCGCGAATTTTCTTCGAGAGGCTCGAGCGATGAAGATGTAACCGAACTGCGCGCAGCACTGCCTTCTTTTCAGACGCTCTTGTGTTCGCTCCTTCTGAGCATGTTGTTATACCTACCCTTGGCGACGTGACTACCCTACCTGCTGGGGGTTACCTTATCTTTGTATATCTTATGCGCAGGTCTTTCTAGAGCCCAAGGAAACCGAACTCTGATCAATCAGCGACGGGTGGCAATCCAAGGTTCCGAGGAGGAGGTAGGCGCAGCAGCCTAGATAGATGTGAATGATCTGACGCCAGCGATCGCTCCTTTCCCATTCCCACTAGTGAGAAAATCAAAAAGCGGGTGTTTCGTGCTGGCAGGCCGCGAGATTTATACGCTCATGACAATAGTCCGTCTCGATTTCGTCGAGAGCTTGAGAGCGAGAGCTCCGCTTACCACCGCGGACTGCACCTCCTAACATCGCGGGCTGCACATCCTAGTATGATTCGGAATGGATATGGACGGAATCTGGCATGTCCCTGGATGCCCGTCATCTTCACACGACGAGAAGTCCTCGAGTTTTGCAGTCCAGGTCCAACAAGGATGCTTCAGATCAATTCAACGCACCGAATACAACAACCTGCGAGACGAGGCAGCTAAAAGAGGCATGAAAGTCGTTTTGTTACATTTCTGTCACGTTTCCGTCGTGTATTTGTTATCTAAAAAGGACTTTTCTACTTGCCAAACTTGTCTGCTKGCCATCTTCGGCGCCAGCCAGGTCCATAAATATATACCACGGGGATCATGAATGCGAAAGCAGTGATGATACCAGTGTATACCATCATGGTCCTGAGGTAACCCATGGAAGCGACCCACTCGCTCACGTAAAAGCTCAGCACAAAGGCAATAATGCATCGGAAAGATGCAATGTTGACCAATGCCGGTCCTGCCAAGTGGGGATAGCACTCCAACACATAGACCGCACCGACGGTGTTTGCGCCCAGGAATCCAAAAGCCATCAGGCCCAGGCCGAAGAGGAAGAGTGCCCAGCTGTAGTTCGCTGGTGTTTCTCCACAGACGCCGAAAATGATGGATCCARCAATGGCGCAGATGGTGGGGAAGATGAGGTTCAGAAGCTGGTTTTCTGGAGAGCGCGTTCCAGTCTTGCGTGCGGCCATGTTGGCGACTTTGTCTGCAAGCGTGCCGGTAAACCCAGCGACACAGACGGCGGCAATGAGCAGAGGAATCAAGCACAAGCCTATGTTGAGGAACGGCCATGACCAAGGTTGGGTGATGAGCGCTGGAGCAACGGTATATCCAGCTGCAAAGGCGCATGCAATCATGGCACTGTTGAGCATGGTGATGAACAGGATCTGGGGGTAGAAGAAGGTACGCAATGTGTCGAGGAAAGCGTTCCAGCCTTTTCGCCATTCTGGCTTGCCGTCCAAGATTGCAATGTCAGTCTTGAAGGTGCGAGGAGTGAAGATGGTGGTAGTYTCTTTCCGAGGAATCCCGTCTGGTTAATGAAATGTCAGCCAAATAATTTGTTAAAAACGCCCTGAGAACAGGCTTACCCATCTCCGCACGAGTGCGTTGCCATCGTGTTTCCGGCATGAAGAAGAACACGCCGACCAAGAAAACACTTGCAGCGATGGCGGTGATGAAGTACACCCATCGCCAGCTCATGTAGATGATGATGTATGGCGCTGCGATTCCCAGACCAATGATGATGATTCCCTGAGCGGCGAAAACACCACTGATCCAAGTGTTACGCTCATGAACGTACACCATGTCCTGCGACAGCTTTAGCAAAAATTTGGCATACTCACAACAAGCGCACAATACTGACCTGGATCATGAAAGGGATCAAGCTCTCCACAGTACCGGCTCCCAATGCTTGAATACAACGAGCGCCGAGATGGCTACCCAGAGAGTGACTGCATCCTGCCCAAATGGCACCTGTGACTTGTCAGACGCGTGATTCCATAGAATTGGGATTCGTCGAGCGAACTTAYYT